TTTGCCAGAAAACTACTATCAAAAGTGTTTTTCCCACCGATTTTATTTTTTAAACAAAAAGTTGAAATATTTCTAGATTTAGTTAAGTGTGAATTATAGTCCTGTGAAAAATGTATTAGAAATTACAGTTCTTTGTTTCTGACCTACATTCAATGGTTTATATAGGGGCATTCAAAAACACAAAACACAAGGATATTTTACTAAATAAGCAATTATCAAACAAATCTTCAATTACATTATTCCTTTTAGGCTACATTGTTATTGTTTTTAATAAAATATCAAATATTCCTGACATTCGATGTGCCGCCTATTAATACAATACTGCCTGGTTTTTCGGTGGACTGCCTCTTAAATATTAAACATCATGTGTTTAGAATTTAGAAACATTCTAACATGTTTATTTCTTAAACACTTCACAAAGTGTTTAAATTTTAAACGTGTTAAAGTGTTATTATCTGTGGCAATTTGGTGTTTATATTTAAAACACTTATTTTTTACAGTGTACGAAAGTAGTAATTAAGTCAGGTACATCTTGTCTGATATAATAAAAGTACTCTGACAGAACTGCATTTGTTGTTTAAAATTTTACTTCATGGAAAAGGCTTCTAGTTGACAATTATGGATAAATGTTATTTCTATATGTTGTTTCAGAGATATAGGAATTTTACCAAAATTTAAAGAATTCGCTGAGCTGAACAATGGTTTGACTTGTTCAAGGATGAATCCTAAGAAAACGTATATAATGTGTGGTAGACATAGAGGGAAAAATTAGAATTAACATCATATGGCTTTCTCTATTACATGCACTTAATAAGCACAATGTTATGTCAAAAACAAAAACAAGAAATTTCAAGTTTTCTTCTGTATGATCTATAGATAATATTGTTATGCGTTTGACTTACTATTGCTTTTAAAAAAAAAGCTTTTGTGTACTCAGTAAATCTAATCTAGTACTGAATTCCACATAAATACAAGTCTAAACATTTTTCTCACAATTTGTCTTTTTGTGACACACTTAGTAGGATCTCGTGATATTTATCCTTTTCTGCCCTCTTTATGTAATAAAGTGTTAAAAACTTTGGTATTGGTTTAGAATTTACATGTAGTATTTTATATTATATTTCCTAGAGGAAATTCCATTACATGTAGTTCTACATGGATTTGCACAAAAAACCAATACACTTTCACTTGTATCCTTATTCATATATCACTCTGTAGTTAATATGTGTGTTCTGACATCATGAAAGACCAATACAATAAACATACCACATATCTTTGCATACCGTCAACAGCATATTTCCCCTAAAAAGGATATTTAAAATAAAACGCTATAAAAAACATAATTTTAACAATTTTTATGCTTTTATTTGATATGAACTCAGAATAAAGAAGATAATGCTTCAAGTACTGTCAGAAAATGTCACTACACAAAATCATACAGAAGCATCTCCGTAAATCTTTAACACAAACTCATACTGCCGAGATTGGTGCGTTAGGAAGAGAAGGTTTTCCTGCATTACATCCACCAAAATTCTTTAAATATCAATGCATGTAAGATAAATAAGTCATGATTTACATGTATTTCCTAGTTAATTGATACATAAATGTATCAGACATTTAAAAAATAAATGATTCATGACGTCAGAAACTACGGCGCTTCATGACTAGAAGAGCTTCATGAATATATGTCGGTGTTTTGAATGCTCAGGTGATCGAGCTTATCTGATGAAACGAAGATAACGAACAGTAGTCTAGCTCAAAAATCCCCTAAAACAATAGATTTGGAGCAAAGCAAACACGGACCTCTAAAAACATCAGAGATTGGATCAGGTGCCTTGGAGGAGTAAGCATCCCCTGCCGACCGGTCACACCCGCCGTGTGTTCCTTGTCATGACCGTGCAAACGGAAAAATCCATAGACAATGCATTGTGAATAATGGTATATTGTATTTGATGACAAGGTCATTATGTCGACGATAGCATTTGCGAAATGTTGAATTTTTAAAACGAGACTGTTGAAATTCTTGTTTCATCAACTTATGTGCCAGTACCTTGCAACGTTTTAGAAATTGATCGTACGTAGAGCATGCTCTTGTGTATCGATTCAACTGGGAGATATAAATCCCTGTCCAGGTGATAAGGGTATATTGCTACATATATAAATAAGGGAAATTGATGATAGAAAAGTTGAGGCCATCATGTTTATTATAAAGTTTTGCTGTTAGGTTACCAATAAGGTTTTTTTCTAGTAAAACATCCAAATATGAAATAGATGTGTCAGATTCAGGCTTGGGCATCACTGAAGAGACATAATTTGTCGAGTTGCGCATCTGGTGCATCAAAATTGGTACCGTATAAGATTTCCATTCTGTGGTATCTTTTATTTCGAGTTCAAAGGGATATATCAAATCAACATAGGAATGAAAATGAATATTGAAGAAACGTCGTCAAAATGTGAAATGTTGAACTGAAGGCTACAGCCAGAGTTCTTCTTTTCATGTAGAAGTTTTTGAATAAATTCTGCTTCATATGAATACAAAAGAGGTCTGCTAGTAACGGGGCGCAATTGAAACCAATGGGAATTACGACAAATTGATCTCCACAATGATTTTATCTCCATGAATATTGTCAATCAGAAACTCAAGCATCTTTTTAATATCAACTTCAAAGTACTTGTGTATACAATCAGAATGTTTATAATACAATAATTTTGCAAATGACCAATGACAAGGTAAGTAAATTTATGAGTTCCGTTTTTATTGAAAAAGCAGCTGTCTATGATGTCAAAAAGCCTGGACTTTAATTTATCGTGGGGAGTAAATATAGTGTTGAAAAGTCGTAAGTTTTGATGTTTTTGATTTTGGTAAAATTTTGAGATTTCAAATTTTCTAAAAGTATCGGAGTATATTTTCTGTCAGTGTTGTCTCATATTATCTTCTTCGGAACCTAGGGGTAAATTTCGATCCAAAAATGTATAAAATATAACCAGTTGTAAAAATGTATGTATAGCCACAAACTGTGTCAAATGTAGTGGAGTGTTAAATATAGTTTACAACAATACATATTATGATATATTGCAAGAATTTGACCAATATTCCTAATTCAAAAAATAATAATAACAATTGTTTATCAAAACTTTACGAGAAACAGCATATTGCAGCTAATTAGCATGCAAGATGTTCATGCGCTTTCCTGTGCGTTCATGAGCAAATGAATCACATTCTTATTTGTAAAGAATCTAGAAAAAAAAAATGGAGATGTAAATATGTACATAGACTTGATATTTGAGCAATGGTTTTTTAACGAAAATTTGTACGCACATTTCATCGACATTTAAGTAATGATACAGTGACTGTATCAAATTTTCATTAAGTAATTATTTAAAAAAAAATTTCTTTTATCAAACGATTTTTAAAAGTTATGCTTCAAACAGTTTATCCCTGAAATGTCAGGTTACATGTACATCTATGTAACGTTACATCTTTGTAATATGAAGTTTGCATTGCATTGTCCTATAATATGCTAATTATTTGTAAGAAATTACTTTAAGAGACATACAGTTTGACCTTCGGTATCTCGAATATTGATATCTCCAATACCATGAATAGGTAATGTGAGCTGGAAGTCTCAACCATGCACTTTATACCTAAAAATCCTCGGATATCCCAAAGGTTTTTTTCTTTGAGTTCAAGATATTAACGAAGTTTGACTGTATGATAAAATTCTTGTGATATTATATAAAAAATATAAATATATTTAAGTATTCTTCTTAACAGGGTTTGGAACGATTTGAGTGAACTGATAATTCTGTATAATATGTACAGGTATTTATAATTAGTCATATTTTGAAAACTAAAATACAAGTCTATATTTTACCATCTTTTATCCCTAGACACTAAATCAAATCCAGTAAAAGTCTTTTTTAGTATTAGATAGAAAAGATGATTTCTCATACATTTGGTGCTTGTATTTCATCTGTCATCGATCTGGATTGTTCTTTAATTCTCCTGATAAACACTTCAAGTTTAGCAAGTCATGAAGTGCAAACTATATACAGTTAAGACAAAACTTTATTCTGATTTTTTCCCCTTTAAATTTATAAATAAATAAGATAATTTATAACTTTGCCCGGTCCCTATTTTTCTTGAAATCCTTTATCCATACCCTGTGACATGGAAAATAGTCAAAAAATTATGAATTTGTTGCCTCTTTATGAATATCACAACAGAACATTCAACAACATCTCACACAAAATCAAATCGTAGAATGAAGGGTTTGCCCAACGTGTTGACTCAGGACCCCTGGCTTGCGAGGATTGGGTTTGCCTTAAAGAATCCAGAAATTTCTAAGAATATAGTCTTCAAAATTCAAATGTTTGCAAATGCAAACATCGAGTTTTGATCTTAAATTATGATTCATTGCTCTAGGATGACACTGTCCGTGTTCTGTATCAGAATTCCTAAATTACAGGATACGGAGACGATCAGATCTCACGACTGCCGTGAATGAAAGATGTGTCATAGTAGTAATGTTCGCCAAAATTGACTTCAAAAGGATAAATTTACATGTAATGGATTGGTCATTTTGTGGTCAAGTCAATGATTGCTATATATAAGAGAACGTTTCCTAAAACAAGTGGTATACAACTCTGAACTAATGTAAGCAACAACAGGGTTTTCTCCTTACACTTGAAATTAAGGTGAGTAATTAGTGATGGACGTAAATTATATATTGTATTATATACATGTACACATGTATAAACATTGAGTTATGTGTTTGTGTTGGATGGATGCTTTCTTCTGTTTGATATTTCTTTTTCTGTATGTTACTATAGTACTTTATATTTTGTACGCCATTAAATCTTATCCTTATTTTACATGGAAAAAAAGAATTTGACCTGAAAATACGATTGGAGTCCCACTGTCTTCCCGCTTACAAATATTACAATAAAGGGCTATCATTAAAGAAGATTAAATTAATTTCTTTTTATATTCTTTTTAGCCAGGATGAATATGAAGTTGTTGCTACTGGTAGCAGTGGGCGTGGTCTTGGTGCCTGAGACAACAGGGTGGCGGTACACGTCAAATAGGCTGTCTCAGCAATACAACTATCTACAGAAACAACTGCAACACCTGCAACATATCATCTTAATTCTCAGTAAAGGTACGTGTATGGGTATATTTACACAATTATACATATACTATTGTATTACAATTAAATAATATTTTGTCAAAATGCAAATATATAACATGAACTGGAGGGGTCTTGAATTGAACATTTGCCCCAATGTTTAATAGTGCTTTTTTAAATGAAATAATCCACGACCTCGTTTAACATTACTCGCACAATAAAGGGCTATATATAGGAATAAAAGATTTTTTTTACTCTGTTTATAATTCTAATATTCGATATATCTTTTTCGTTATAATTAATTCTAGATGATTTATATCCCTTTAGGTTTGAAGGGCGAGCCAGGACCTTCAGGACAAAAGGGGGATACTGGGAACAAGGGGAACACAGGATCTCAGGGTAATCAAGGCGCCAAGGGAGATCTTGGGGTCAAAGGTGATAAGGGTATCCAAGGTACTCAGGGTTCTACCGGACAGAAAGGAGATCAAGGGGCATCAGGAGCAAAGGGTGATAAGGGAGAACAGGGCGCCAAAGGGGCCATTGGTGCGACGGGTTCCGCGGGAAGTAAAGGCGAAAAGGGGTTGTCTGAAAAGGGAGAGGCCGGCACGAAGGGACAGAAGGGAGAAACAGGACCTAGTGGGTCCGCAGGAACAGCTGGGACTAAAGGGGAGGCAGGAGCTGAGGGACAGAAAGGTGATGCGGGAGCTAAGGGGGCTACAGGCGCCGCTGGAGAGAAGGGCGAGAAGGGACAGAAGGGAGTAAAGGGAGAGAAAGGGGGCAATTAAGGGGGAAACATTTCCCAACTCAACTCGATAGACAGTGTGTTTTATCTAATGACCTAATAATGAACAAGTTTTAATGATGAAAAGATCAAATATTCAAAGGATCCCTTTTCTTTCTTTACCTTTCGAATGTGTGTTTAAGTACATAATTTTAGAAAAAAAATTAATGTTTTCGTCTCGCGCTATTCAACAAGTCATTATATTTAATTCAGTATTATCAAATATTATTGCTATTGAAACTTTGTCAACACCAAAAATAAAAGATACTATAGTGAATTTTAATTTATTTTTTTTTTCATGAGATCTGATTAAGATATGAACAGATATATCTATTAACACACACAGTTAATTTTTTAGGAAATCTAACAGTGGTTGGTAAAGGACATGGCATGAGGTTTTTTTTAATTATTATTATTATTATCATTATGAATAATTCGTAACCACGAAATAAAATTCGAGGCCACAAAATAAAAAGTCGTGAATCATTTCTGTATATATTGTGTATGTAAAGTAAATCTGGAACGGATTCAAAACAGTCTTTCCAACTTTGCACGTTTTTCTGCAGTCAAATTGTTATAAAACGTTAACAAATTGCAACAAAGTTGTTTTCCTTGGTGCATTATATGTAAAATGTGTTCTTTTTCAAAAGTTAGGCACTCTTGAATTATACTTGTGAATGCAAGAGGTTTTTGGTTGATTATACTAATCTGATAAAAAAAATATATATATAATGCATAAAACCATACAGATCATTTCAGCTTCTTTGAACAAACTGAACAAAAATAAATCTTTATAAACATACTTAATATAAATTAGTTTTTAATCAATAAAAATTTCAAATATTAGAACTCTATACATAAATGTGTTCTATTCAACATTAGAGAACTCATGAATTTTACTTACGAATGCAAAAGAGGTTTTTGGTTGATACTGATTTGATATGTGGTGGGTAGGTCACGTGGAGGGGGCACATTAGCGATATAATGTCGATAGGCAGCATAATGTGGTTTAATACAGTCTTCTTCTCGACCAATGAAATTTCAAGATTTTTATAAAAGGCAGGATAAAAATATTTACTAACCTATAAAAATATAATGCATAAATTTCAACCACTTTGATCGTACCAGGTTTGTAATAAACAAATATAAATCATCATTAATATGCTTATTATAAATTTCAAATATTAGGATTTTGTTCATAAAGTCATTTGTTGAATTTATTCAGCACAATATTAGTAAATCATTTGTACCAAGTCATAGTATTTCATGATGTATATCTATCATAATACTATGAATCATAAAAAGTACATCATTTTTTCAAATTGTAGCAGTTTATAACCTCAAAGTAATAATAAACCCAAAATATTAATTTTATAAGATGACGTTTCTTACTCTAGTATTAGATATGAAAACATCGTGGGATCTACGTAAAACCCTTAGTGTATCAATACATTGTAAAAAGTACAATAACTGCTATAGCTTACAATGTATCCCCGGTTATCTACACGAAGAGTTAGCGAGAACTCTTCCAAATTCGAATTTATTATATATTTACGTTATATAAAAAAAACAAATGAACTATTAGTGATCACGAATAAAAAAAAGGGGGGAGTATAAAAAAAATATTTCTTATACCCATGGTATGTCAGTCAGATTAAGCGATCTAAAGCTAGGCCTGTGACAACTTTTGGGGGGAAAATCTTTCTCTGGGTTCTACAGTGCCTGTGGATGATATGTAAGACACCTCTGGTATGCCGGTGTAACGACGGAAAGTGACCCCCGTAGAATATTGACCGGGGAGTCAAATTTCTCCGTAGAAAAATGACCCCCCGGTCAATTTTCTACGGCAAGTAGGGTCATTTTTCGACCGTAGAAAACCATTCCAGGCCGGTAATTCTACGACTCAACACACGTTGAAAAATGACCCCCATAGAAATCTTACCCCCTACTTTTTCACTATATTTTATAATTAAACCTTTAGAAATGAGACGTTATATGCGTTAATCCGAGGTGTTTGAGGGTCGGTGAAGGCCTAGTGTTTCCTGATTTTTTTCTTCAAATGTATAATGGGGGAGGAGCAAAGTACCTTCCCCTCCTTAACGCCACTTCTCAATACTAGCATCATATACAATGTACGTGGTATGTTTTTTTTTTGTTTTTTTTTTTTTTTTTTGCTTGCATCCTAATGAGTATACATTATTGAGGAGCATAAATTCATTTTATATATATATATATATATATATATTTATCGGAAATATAGAGAGAATCTATGGAAGAAAAAATTATATACTTATATACCATTTGGTATAAATAAAAGGGAGCACTATTGCCCCTAAACCATTATATGAACAGTTTTGCGTGTGTACATTGTATATATGAATATGTTTATTTATATGGAATAATTCATTTTACATTATTCAGAGTCCAAATATATGTATCATTTGATTACTTTTGCAACTCTCGCAATCTTTTCAGATGTTTTTCGCGAAATTTTGATTCATGACGTTGTCTTTCTATTGTATGTACATTGTGACGTCATAATACGTTGTTCAACGTTAGTTGCTATGCATTTAAATAAACACGACTGATGAAGGCCGGTAACACGGTTGAAATATTTCAAAAAGTGTTTTAAAGTGTTTTTATTCTATTACAAAGAAGAGACTTTGGATATATATATATATATTAGGGCAGTTATGTTAGTTTAAGAGTTGTTGTAAATTGTGCTTTATAAATAAAATTAATTTCATTACAACATGTATTGGTAACCACTGGCGGATTTAAGGGGGGGCGTGGGGGGCGCACGCCCCCCCTAAAATTTTCAAACTATGATATGACTAATATTAATAATGCCTTACTTAAGTATATAACTAACCAATACCACTATTTTTGTGCCTGGTTTTACTCTTAAAATACACGAAAACCCAGGAGCTTCAGGGGGCTTCGCCCCCTGGGCCCCATCTATTCAAAGTATGATATGACTAGTATTAATAATGCCAAACTTTGGTACATATAAACTAACCAATACCACCATTATTGTGCCTGGTTTTACTCTTAAAATACACGAAAACCCAGGAGCTTCCGGGGGCGGGGCCCCCTCTATTCAAAGTATGATATGATTAGTATTAATAATGCCAAACTTTGGTACATATAAACTAACCAATACCACTATTATTGTGCCTGGTTTTACTCTTAAAATACACGAAAACCCAGGAGCTTCCGGGGGCTTCGCCCCCTGGGCCCCCACCAGGGCTTCGCCCAGACCCCCTGCCTGAACGAAGTTATCCACGCCCCCCCTAATCACAAATCCTGTATCCGCCCATGGTAACAATCCGAGCTAATAAAACTAATGTCCAAATAACTGTATCTCACTTCTATTCTCAATGAACGTGTAGTGTAGGGCAGCGCTGTGAGAATTCCATCGGCATCGAAAGCAAGTTTTTTGACTTGCCTAGATAGCCGAGCGGTCTAACGCGCTGTTCCTGTACTGCTAGGAGACAGATTCCGTAGGTCGAGAGTTCAACCCCGGGCTGGGGCGGAAGTGGGTATCCTTATAAAAGTGAATTTCTTTGTGCTTTCTATATATATATATATATATATATGTTGTTCACGTCTTCTACGGAACTGAATCAATAACTTAAACGCATTTTGTCGTTTCAGTATCACAGATATTTATTTTCATAATGGCAGATATAAAACAATACATTTATCCATGAACTAGAAAATCACAAAAAATGCATAATTTCTCTCAGGTTGGTTGGTCAACACAGTCCGATGTGTTAGTGGTTTTTGGTGGGTTTTTTTTTTCTCAAATATTTTGTTCCGAAAATGATATATGTTTCTGACAACGATATACTTGTATGGAATGCATGTTATCGGAAACCATCTAAAGGACAAGCTTTTTGGCCCCATACTTCTAGCTTGAAATTGTGCCAGCTCTCAACTTGCCTCCACCCAAGCTTTTACATATATCAGTTTCTGGATACACCAATTGAAACAAAAAACGTATATTGTATTATTTCTAGACAAGGAAAAAAATTAGAGAAAGCACGGCATATGAAGCGTCCAATGTGGAGATGCTATCATTAACTGTAATTACTGCTTCATTTTTAATATCATGTAATATATTTTTCCCTCTTTCAGCTTCATTTATACTTATTTATTACATGAATATTAATACCCCCGCTCCGAAGGAAATGGGGGTATATACCTTTACCCTGCGAATCTCTCTGTTGTGTGTGGGGGTGAGTGTTTGTGTCTATATGTCTGTCCGAAACAATTTTTTTCGTTGCAGTTTTCTCTATCACACTCTTTGGTTCGGCATGCTATATAGTGGTATTCATTTTGGTAGTGATGGTCACCATGCTCATTATGGGAAAAGATATCCTAATCCACCCATCCTATTACCGAGATTTGGCCATTTGTGACAAACGGACTATTCTTGTTATAAAAAAAATAATTTGCATGGTGAGAAATATAAGACTCGGAAAAATCTTTTAACTTCTGTGAACAGAACGCTACGGAGCATGTCACGTGGCCGCCTGGATCACGTGATTCGTGCATGGGCAGAACGGTAGCAGATGTACATTCAAATCGGAGAGGACCACTTTAAAAAATAATAAACACTGAAAACTGATTTTATTTCTTTTATAGAAGTAATTCAATTAGTTCGTGAACTTTTTGATTACCCCTCGTATTTCTTGTATATTAACATATCACCCCAAAATTTTTTACTGATATCAGTTTTAAGAAAGTTTCAGCTTTGAAATCTCAAAAAAGTAAAAAAGTTCCAAACTAAGTTTCATAGTTAATCAAAGTATCAAAGTATAGTTAATAATAGTAAACTATAGTTAACTATACTTTACTATAGTTAATTTTTGTTATGGGTGCCCTTCGACTGTGATAGAAATTCTGGCAACATACTCCCCTTCCTTGATCATTAATATAGATACATGACTGTATAATCTACATTATCATTCACATATGCATTATGTAACTCCTTATAAGTAGGATTTTTGATGTAAGAAAAAAATTACTTTTAGCCTATAATCTCATATTTTTAAAACCTCGTATCACACAGCAAGATCGCTTAATTTGTGAAAAGGAAAGACATGGCAAGATTTTTTTTTCTATAGGCTAACAATTTAAAGAGTGGGTTACATCCTCGTTACCCACTCCCTCAAAACTTACCACTATATATAGACGCGCTGACACAAATCACGTATATGGTTGGCCGTTCTACTCACAATTATTTATTTTTACTCCACTAAAATTATTTTTACTTCAGTAAAAATAAAACACTGGCCATTGCTACTCACAATTAAATATTTTTACTTCAGTAAAAATCATTTACTTTCTCACTGAAGTAAGAATACTTTTTGGCCACATTACTCACAACTAATTAATTTTACTGCAGTAAAAATAAAACACTGACCATCTAACTCAAAAATTAATTAATTTTACTGCAGTAGAAATATAACACTGGCCATCTCTACTCACAATTAAATATTTTTACTTAAAGTAATAGCGAAGTTTGTTACAAAAGAAGCTTGAAACAGGAATGATGTGATAATTAGCGACATCAATCAACTAGACTTGTAAGAGATTTATTAGGACCCGACACTCCAAACCACAGTTTATAGTAGATAACTTCAATTGTGCTAATATTGCCAATCATACTTAAGGAAAAAATAATATATACATTAAGCAGAGAAACTTTTTCATAATGCAACATTCGGTCTTTTCTAGTGGTAAATATTATTACACGTAACTAGAAAGAGGAAATACGTACTACTGTGTATAAACTTGTGTCAATTCTAAGTATACCAAACACCTCTTTTATTAATTAATCATTTTTTATGTAAAAAGCGTCATTTTGTTTAGGTTTTTTGACACTAGCAAACGACAAAAGACACTGGTAAAGATTTTGAGCTGACCATTTTTTGTGTCCCTGAGATCGAATATCAGAGGAATATTAATTTAGTCCTATCTATTATTTTTCCACTTAATCTTCCCTATATTTTGATGAGAAATTTTATACTAGAAAATTTAAGATATATATGAGATCAAATTTTCCTAACAATTGTCCATTTTTCACGCAAATTTATTTGGGTAGGGTTCGAAAACATTAATCTTTCTTATAAAACCCTTGAGACTTTATTTTAATTTTTTTTTTTTTTTTTTTTTTTTTTTTTTTTTTTTTTTTTACATTATTTTACATTATTTACCCAGAGTAAAATTTAAAGAGGATCATTACATTATACACAGAAAACATGCATTTTTTTTAAATTTATATATAAGTTTCTCTTTCTGACTCCAGTTAAGTAAATAATCTTGTTTTTTTTTTAAATGACGACTGTGGAATCTTATTTTATAAAATGTGATCAAACAAATCTAAGAACCTAGTTATTTTTTTTTCCTTTAATGAGATAAACATCTTGTTTTATTGATGTACATGTAAGGTATAGTATAACCTTTTGTTATCTAAACTTTAAAGCTTTAAGGCTGCGTGATTTACCCCTATGTATTTGCCTATCAAGAGTATTCCTACCAAAACCATTTTTAAAAAAAAGACAGAGGGTCATTATTCTACGGGGTCATTTTTCTACAACCCACACGGAGAAAAATGACCCCCAGGCCATAATTTCTACAAAAAAGTGGGTCATTTTTCTACGTAGAATTTTGACCTGGGGGGTCAAATTTCTACGTAGAAAAATGACCCCCGGTCACTATTCTACGGGGGTCACTTTTCGTCGTTACACCTGCTTATAATAGCAGTGCTATTTACTGTAGTGTCTATAAAAGTTATCTTTCCTGATTTATTTTAAAATATGCTGCAACTCATTACTGGCAAGTTTGAGTACACGTCAGGGCAGTAATATACATTTATTGACAGGGTTCGAGGGCAACATGCGTTTTGTCGGACCCAAGAACCAAACTGTTTGCCTGAGGCCGTTAGATTTTGCTGGTTCCGCCCACAGTGTGACGTAAGCGGTCCAATATCTCGTCCACAGGTCCAATATCTCACTCTGCGGCCAAACATCGATTTTTTTTATGGCCGCTCGTTAAAACATTAGAAATGTTAGACTTTTCTTTAGTATAGATTTATATAGGAACTAATTTCGAAAGGTATAACAATTTTATTTTTCCAAGACATAAGATCTTACCATTATTTATTCGACTTTTGTATATCAAAGATACTCAGTATATGCACATTGTTAACCCGTGAAGAAAGCGTACAATTTTAATCTCATTCACATCTTCCAAGTATACATATATAGTTTGTTTGTTGACTGAGCCTTCAGTAAAAATCCTCACTACGTCTCTTACTGTCAGTGAGGTCAACATTTGAACTACATGTACATGTATTAAGAAAAGCAGTTCATAATAAACGCAAGCATTTGAATATTGCGTCAAGTTTTACATCTTTAAATAACTCCAGTGGCACTTCAAGAAAAGTATGAATGTCTTGTCATAAAATTATCATTTGAACGTGTACTGATTCGTCACCAATTAAATATTTAAATTGTTAATTTAAAAATAGAGCAAGGACTCGTTCATATGGAGAGACCATTTATTGCTAAAGGAAATTTTGCCCACTGATCTGTATCTATGCTGTCAATACTTTTCTGGTTGGAAAGAGCATCTGAAATAAATTTCACAGTAAATAAATTATATACAATCATGTACATTAATGTCATGTGATATACCAAAGAAACTAGAAACTGTCTTGGCTGAGTTCTCACATTTGTCCGAAATTGGGCATTTTTCTTGTCGTGTATGCCCAAATTCTTTATATTAGAATAATTAAAACCATAATGTACACGTGTTTTTTTTTGTTTTGTTTGTTTGTTTTTTTTCAGATAAATATTTTTGTACATAAATACTTACTGCAAAATAATTTAACAATTAAAGATTTTTTGGTTGTTAGTATGGGAATTAATGTTGCAGCTATTGCAGAAAAAAATACATAACCCGTGTAAGCGTATGTAATTTTTAGTCCCCTACCGGTGAAACCGGAGGGGACTATAGGTTTCCTCTGAATCTGTCCGTCCGTCTGTCTGTCTGTCTGTCTGTCTGTCCCTCTGTAGTCTGTCAGTCTGTCCCATTTAGTTTTCTGCACTTTTTTCTAAACGCTTGCACATATTGATCTGATTTTTGGCATGTGAGTGTATCTTGATGAGTTACAGATCAAGTTTACATTTCATTCCGCTTCAGTGCTTTTTGACGGAATTACGACCTTTTGCATTTTTAAGGGTTTTCCGCAATTTTTTTCTAAACGCTTGCAGATATTGAGCTGACTTTTGGTATGTAACTTTACCTTGATGAGTTATAGACCAAGTTTGCATTTCGTTCCGCTTCATTGATTTTTGACGGAATTGTGGCATTTTCAATTTTTAACGGGAACCAATTACACTTGCCGGTAGGGGACTAGTATTGCTATAATGCAATACTCTCAGAATGCTTGTTTTTTCTGCAATAGCTGCAACGTTAATTCCAATGTACAAAAAATACATTTTATTGTTTATATTTATATATGTCTGTATAAATAATCATGTTAAGTAGGTTCAGTTGTGTTAAATATTGTATTTTTGATAGTTACGTCGTTGTAAGAGGGTCGTTCAATGAATGATGCAACAAACAGTATGTCATAGTAAATTTAGATCTGTTTAATTTTATTTTTTCACAGTTGAAACGTTCCATTAAAGAGTCCCTTATCATAGAAAACCCCATGATTTTTCCTATTGTCCTCGCAAAGAAAAGTATGCATGGTTACTACACTGAGCTGAAAACTGTTAAAAATGATCTCTGCCAAGAAGATGAAAATGAGAGCGTACGTAAAAACTGTGCTGCTTTATATAAATCGCCGAAGAACTCATATTAAAGACATGATTTTCATATGTAAAAAGTAGTCTTTACTGCTATATAGTTTTCAAACTGATTCAGGAATTCAAAAGTAAAAGAGGAGAGTTTAAATTTAACATGCAGTCAAACTGGTCGATTGAAATTTGTAGGGACACCAAAAATTATCGATGCTGTGTGCAACATGATATCTGAAAATGTCAGATTTACATCGAAAGACATTGCAAAAACAGTAAGAATTTCATCTTCACAACATTTTATAGAATTCTGACAGCGGAAATGAATATAATATTTCTATCAGATAGGTGCCTTATTTTCATAAAATTGCATAAGAGAAAATACGCATTAAATGTGCTAACGGTCTATTTAAAAACAAATATTTTAACAAAATAGAAGATTTGTAAAATTTGCGTGATGGATGACGAAACATGGGTGCATTTTTCATAACCAAAAAGGAAGATCAATGGTAAAAGGTGGAATCAAAGAAAAAGCTATTTTTTTTATTACTGTAAAGAGAAACAAGGACTCCAAGCATGTTTCATTAATTTTAATTTTTTTCAAGAGGTCCAGTAAAACAAGTACTTACACCCAAAGGAAGGGCCATCATTGGTAACTTTTATGTTCAAATTGCACTAAAGAAAGGTAAACAGATTTCCTGTAAAGGAACCCCAGGGTAATTTTCTAGTACCTGGCAACGCTGCTGCAAATAAGCACATAGAAATAGACGAAATTCTGAAGAAATGAAAGTTTACAGAGCTTTGCCATCCCCTATATTCGCTAGATCTCGGTCATTTTGATATATTTTTATTCCAAAGACGCATGAAAACAATCCAAGGAAGATTGTACAATATTAGATATGTAATGAGAAGTGATATTCATCAGTGTCTTTGGGGCACCCTTAAAGATGAGAGTATGCTGAGATTTTCTGGTCATGGGTACAAAGACTTAAGACATGTGTATAGGGTAACAGAGAATGTTTTGAGGGATTGAAAATGTTTAGAATATGTATTACGTACTTTTCTAACTTTTAGAAGACCTATTGCATTATTGACTGAACGACCCTCGTATGTTTCATTTGATGGAAGAACCACTGCTTAAGAAATGAATACAGATGGCTCAAAAACATGATAAAAAGATTTATTCATCTAAGTAGAGTTCTTTTTTTAAATTTTCTAGACAGTCACTTACTCTACCAGGGAACATTTGGACGTTTCACTCTAACCTGTCTCACAAGATGTCAAAATTTTACTGAAAAAAAAAAATGAATAAAAGGCTTGTTATTATATTGTATTCAAAACAATTTGTAAGTATATACGATGCTAAAAAGTGAAATAATGCATTCAGATAATCTATATACTTATATATACATGTATTACATTCTAGATTGGAATGTATTAACGGCAATCGCAAGTAAAATACTTTGTGCATCAGATGTACATAAGTGAAACAAGCTGTACGGATTGACACGAATTATGAGTCAATTATAACTATGGGGCATCGTAATGTATATTGCGTAACATATGTAAGATAAATTATCCCATCCGTGAAATTTGTCCCGATGTTATCATGTACGATACCGGATTATATCCGCCGTAATTTATTGCAACTTTTTTTTTCAATGAAATTGAGATATACTGGACATTTATGCCGTCATCAAGGCTGCTTAAGTTATGTAAAAGAACAGTATATATAATACATTTATTTCAGAAATGAATGACAAATCAACCCTCCCATCAAAACCAGTCTAGAGATCCCCGAGTTCATTTTCACAAAGTAAGGTTTAATTTGAATTTGCGTTAAAGCTTTACCAATTAAATTTTTAATATCAATAAAAAATTGTAAATAATATTATATACTTATTTAATGTATTTATCTATACAAATAAGCAGTGTAGTTAACTTGGGGTAAACTATTTTTGAGAACATAGGTTTATTGTATTTTAGTTTCCAGCTTTACTTTTCAAACACGTGTTCTATTTATAGTATGGATTTGAAGCTGGTTCTCCTGCTGGCAGTGTGTGTTTGTGTGGTGCCAACAGTGACAGGTTGGGGATACACGTCTTATTATACCTTAGTGGCACGTTACAACTATCTGTACAGAGAACTGCACAAACTAAAACACATCGTGGCTTCCCTTACCAAAGGTTTGTACCATGCGCCTTTAACATAAACCACAGTCTTCCGATTTCTTATGATCCAGACAATGTTTTATGACATTGTAGAACACATTGAGTCAACTATTTGAAATCAATAGAGAGGTTGAGATTTCATACGTGTACGTGTACGGGTACGTCTAGTAGGGGAATTCCCTAAATTTCTTGCGTATTACGTCATCAGTTTTGGTGATGATGTTTGCTACTCGTTCCTACAACTTGTAAAAAGGCATCTACAACGTAGATGTAAACTTGTAGCCTTTTCAATAAAAACTAGTCAATTTATGTGTGAAACTGTTATTGTTGTTAATTATTTAAGATGTTAAGTTTCATGAACACTTATTTTAACCATGTTTTGTTCACTAACTAAAGTTAAACTATATACTAAATACTTGAAACAGAGACACCGATTCAATCTACACGTTCATGTTACACGTCATTAAAATCTCAACAGACAAATTACAAAAAGCGTGTACGCGTACGTAAAAGTTTGTGCACACGTACACGTACGCGTACAAGTATAAAATCTCAACCTCTCTATTAGAGATATATGTTGCAAAGCGCCACTCTCTGGAAAATCATCGTCTCTGTAAACCAAAAAGGATGCTCGTAGGGTTGGGTGAAGGCACAAAAGAGGTCAAAGTTTGACATAGGAATCACGAAAATATTTTTTTAAATCTTCTTTTAAGAGAAGAAGGGCTACAATTAGTCACATAAAAAATTATCACCCCCATGTAGTGAAATTCAAATTTGTTCAAAACATAGACCCAGCATAGGGCTAGGGTAAGTTCAAATTTTGATAAAAGAATAAGTAGGAATTTTTTTTCTGAATTTACAATTTGTCAATTTTATTTGCCTTTATCCTCATGTATTGAAGAATCAAGTATGTTCAAATCATGACCCCTGGGGCTTGAGTGATATCAGTGAGAAATAATAGGGGGTCAAAGTTTTGTACATAAATATATCAACTTCAGCAAAAAAGAACAAGGTTTAATAAGTTGTTGACTACTACAATGGGTTTCAATTATCTACATAATGGCTTGGACCTCTTGCATCAATACTAAATGTTAGTTGTGAATAAGTCTGTTCTCGCTTTTGCATATCATAAATGACATATTTTATTTTCTTTAAAGGAACAAAGGGAGAGCCAGGACCTTCAGGTCCAAAGGGATCAGATGGTGCGAAAGGTGATAAGGGCAATACTGGAGTCGCTGGAGCTCAAGGCGCCAAAGGAGACCAAGGAATAAAAGGTGATAAAGGTGATATAGGCGCAAATGGAGCCGTTGGACCCATTGGAGCTACAGGAGCCGCAGGCGCACAAGGTGCCAAGGGAGAGATTGGATCGAAAGGTGACACCGGGGCGACTGGAGTCACTGGTGCTAAAGGCGAACCAGGCGTTGGTCAGAAAGGAGACACAGGCGCTGCCGGAGCTAAAGGTAACCAGGGCGCTGCCGGAGCGGCAGGGGCCGCAGGTGCTAAAGGAGACAAGGGCGAAGTAGGTGCACACGGTGCACAGGGAGTTCAAGGAGTGCAGGGTATCCAGGGAGTCCACGGAGAGAAAGGGGAGAAGGGGCAGAAAGGAGAACCTTAAATCTGAATGATTTCCTGCTACATTTCACGTACTTCCGTAATTCCGCCAGTGCACATTTATACATTACACTTATTTAGTAGGAAACAAAAGAGACCATCAATGAATTTTCCCAGTACCAGTTTGTGCGATTTTTTAAAGAGATTGAAATATTGTTATTTGCAGTTATTTCATTTTTTTTTAATGTTTTCTCTCAAATAAACTTTATCAATATACAATTTAAGTTAATTCTTGAAGTATATTTTTATTGATTTCTCTCTTAAGGGTATCTGCTGTTGGTTTTTTTTTTTTAAATAAACTTCATAAAGGAGATAATAATCGCAGCTAATATGCGTGTCTACCTTGTACCACGCTAAAAAAAAAAAAGTTAGATACCATTGAAATGTCCCCTTGAAAGTCATGAGATTTCCAAAAACAATCTACGTGTACTTTTTAACCCCTCTCCATCATCTTTTCTGGCTCTTAAAATACTTACTGATATACTTACATAGTGTCCTTAATATATTTGTCCATGGCCTGTCTGATCGTATCAGCAACAAACTTCTCAACAAAATCTGCCAAAAAAAAAGAAAAAAAATAATAATAATAAAAAAAAAAAAAATAAACGAAAAAATAAAACGAGGGTCATAAAATAAATATATATTACATAGTACTTTAATTTAATAAAATAGGATCAAGTGATATTTTAAATACATTTTTTATTAATTATTTTTTAGTAATTGTTTATTTACATTGGACGTAGCTAGAAAAAAGAATTGCAAAGTTTAAAATTTTCTCCTGGAATCATTAATTTAACAATTGTGTAGAAATACAGTACTTGATATTATACTAGTATTTTTCTTTTCCATGCTTTTCTTAATACTGTTTCGGAAGTTTCTATGGTTTATGTTTAAAATTAAAAATAAATTTTAGGTGGTCATTTGATAATATTTTAACCAAACACTTGAGTAGTTGCTACATGTAGTGCTCTATGCCAGGTAAAAACAAAATCTTTAATAGACTTTTTCTCTTTTTTTAAAATTTCAATTCCGTCACGAAAGACACGTGATGTAAATAAAATTAGATGTCGTACTTTTCATGGCCGCCTCCTCGTCCTCCTCTGAGGACAGGGACAGGAAACTGACATATGACCTCTGCAAGAAAGTTCCATTGTGTTCCAGATACACCGGCTCCACTTTGTTTACCCTCTTACAAAACTTCTGTGAAAAGTATGAAAAGTGTTTTAAGATGAATTATTATTAATTTCAAAATAATAAATTGGTATGCATTTGATAAAATAGAATATATTCTTTGAGAAATGAAAGAATGGGAATGAATCAAAATGCTCGCCTGTATCAGAAGCATCCATCCATTCATTCTTTCTTTATTTCCTCCGAAACGGAGATTCGAAATCAGCAATACAATGTACAATCAAACATATTTACTACATTATTGTAGATAATAAGTTAGAAAAAATTAATAGTTATAAAAAATAAATAAATGCCACTTTGCATGTACTCTTGAGACAGTATCTATTTTGTTTACTATATAGTATTTTTTTTCTCCCTTTTTTTTTTGGGGGGGGGGGGGGCAAACACGTTAGAATGATAGCATTTTAGAAAATCAGTAAAGAACATTTCTTCTGCTTAATTTTTCTGAATAGACATGGCCGTTCAATTAAAAATGTTTTGCTAATCTGTCTCCGCCTTTCAGACTCTAAAGCGGCCATTCTGGAATTCAGTTCCAGACGAACCTTTCGGGCGAAAGGTTGTGTCTTCTAATTAATTCAGAAACAATCAAATGAGTGATAGGAATCAAGTTAAAAAGATCAGATTCGAATGAACTGATTATAATTATCAATCAAGATCAGTGTCTCAAATAAGCTCATGTAAATCATAAATAAAAATTAGTACACACTGCATGTACAAAAACAAAATGCAACTGAGATTCGATATTCTCAAATACGATTCGGGAATCTAGTTGACGTCAGTCTTAAGTTTGCTGCTGCTCTTCACAAAAAAGAGGTAACTATCAAGAATTTTTGTCTTATAAGAAAAGGTGTGCCAGAAATTCTAACTTTCAATCGAAAAACAATTTGGCAAAGGTTGCATAATTATCATTGCAACATTTTCCCTTCGTCTTCATCAAAGTGTGAGCAGACGGTTATCACTTATACTAAACAGGGGAAAAAATGCATCACTTTACGGGAAATATACCAGCATCTTTACGGGAGAATACCGGTATCTATACATACCACACGATTGCTGTCTCTCCTATCCGTTTCTTTTCCGGACTTTCTGTCCAGTGGCCCTGGATGTAGACCACCTTCACCACCAAAAATACACTGTAATGATACAGTTGTTGAAGTACATGTAAGTTCCTCGGGATAGAACACATTGATTAGAGAGAAAGACAAGGAGAGGGGAAATGGCTTACTTTTTGAAAAGGCCAACAGCCATTCCTTCCAGCGGGCAAGTTATCCATTCTTCCCCTCCGTTAGACTTAACGACTTTTATACACAAAGCTCACAATTATTTATCAAGATGAAATTCTAATCCCATTTTATATCCTCTGTTCCACCGATTGTATGAGAAAAGATGCTTACATCTATAAGATCAGAAATCGCATAATACAAGTATAAGGTATTAAATGCCGTATTTCCTCATAAACGATTTCTCCTGGGAAAATAGTCATACGGTAATAATATTCTATTTAAGGAATTCATTTTTTAAATTAATTTCCATCTCATACAGATACGAGTGAGGTTTTGTTACTTTAGTATCCCTTCCCTTCACCGTGGGAGTGAAAAGGTGGAGGGGGTTAATACGAACATACAGTTATAGAATACATTAAATATGTATGAATAATCCTCTCTTTTTAACTTTATTGTTATAAATTATTGTTATAATTCGAAGTCAGATTTTATTGTTATGAATTATTGTTATAATTCGAAGTCAAAGCCCCCTCACCCCTCCCCCCAACCTCTTTTTATTTTATTTTCCAGATTGTTGAAGATGCTGGAATTTCATACTTGGTTTGTTCATGCCCAGTGTCCGCCTCTCAATTCACTAGAATACTTCGAATAATATTCGCGATATCTTGTATACAAAGAAGCAAAAACACTAAAGTTGATGGACATATTCAGGCTCACATAAATGAAAGAAGCTTAACATTTCAAATATTAAACATCTTAAGATACTATAAATTAGACTTATGTACTTTATGTACTTTTTATACTTTATGTACATATAGTATTAGTAAATACCTAGTTTTTCCGGCCTTAAGGACCATCTAACCACTAAAAGATTTTTTTTAGATATTGAGAAAAGTATATTGCATAAAGGTGCAAATATTGAGTTTACCTATTTTTAAATTTTCGACATAGGGTGCGTGACATTTACCTGCATCAAAGACAGTGGAGTTTTGCTGAACAGAAATCACAACTGCTTATTCAATGGGGAAAATACATGTAAATACAGTGTTTAATCGAGTAATCTTGGCCTATTACACTGTTATAAATGTTTAAAGTGAATACGAATAATACACTGTAGATTCCAATTTATTTAAAGTAAGATCAAAGGGCGGATTACTCTGACTGCATAAAAATACCTCAGAATCAGAACTTTTTTGTGCAGTGTATAGAGGGTTCTTAAATAGGCAGGTTTTTTCCCTATCGGTGGCATCTTCGCTAGCCAAGGGATTCTGATCCGCTACTCTCCTCACAAACCTTATGAGAGTAGCGGATCAGAAACCCTTGGCTAGCGAAGATGATCGATGTGAACCTCTCCGATTTTTTTTTTTAAAAAGATAGTACATGTGCACCATTCCAAAGCTATAGATGGACATCATTCCAGCTGATACAGGCATTTTCAACCAGTCAATGACTTCCTTACATAATTCTTAGTTAGATAATTATAAGTTAGACAAATTAGATAATTTAATCAAGGATATAAATTGAACTAGACGCCACTCAGGTATTATATAGTATTTTATACGTTTTATCCGTGTTGTGGTCTCGATAATATAACGAGGTATCCTTTGCGTCAAGCGTCGTGCAACCCAAAAGTTGCGTGTATTCGTGCTTTAGCTAGGGGTTCATTCAGTATATCAGGAAAGATTATGCAAAGCTAATATACAAATAAAACTTTCAACCCTTGCTTTTGTATAAGGAAGCTTCCCCCGTACAACATCAAAGGTACAGAAAGAGAGAGAGAGAGAGAATTCTGCTCACTATTAATTTTACTATGATCTACATGTAAATTTTCTACATAAAAGTATTGACAGAACTCTTTTCAGCATGAAGTTGTTGCTTGTTGTGGCAATTTTTTTGTGCGTGGTGCCAGAAATCACAGGAATATGGTATTCGTCCAGGTATCTTGACAGGAAATCAAGATATCTAATTAACGAGGTCCACAGCCTGAAACGTGAAATCCATCACCTCATAAAAGGTAACTTTCTCTTTCTTGGTATCAGTCTACATATAAAATATTTTCTTTACCAGATTTGTGGTTTACAACAGTAAAAATTGTGTTTGTAGCTGGCACAAAGGGCAGTCCCGGAGACACCGGTGTCAAAGGAGTAGACGGAACAAAGGGAATTAAAGGGGATATTGGTGACACGGGACCACAAGGTACCAAAGGTGAAATAGGAGTTAATGGAGAGAAAGGAGAGAAGGGTTCAGTAGGCCCTATTGGAGCCAACGGCGCTGCCGGCCCCGTAGGCGCTACAGGCGCGAAAGGCAGTATAGGCGAAAAGGGAGTCATTGGAGACACAGGTGCTACGGGTTCTAAAGGTGAAATAGGAGAATCAGTTAAAGGGACCGCAGGTGACGCAGGGGCAACAGGTGCAGTAGGTGATGCAGGTCCTGCGGGACCTACAGGTGCCAAAGGAGAAGTGGGGGAAAAGGGGGCACCAGGAACTACTGGAGCCCAGGGGGTCCAAGGTCTACAAGGGCCAAAAGGCACCAAAGGGGAGAAGGGTGAAAAGGGCAGCCAAGGGGGAACACCCCCTAGTTAGACCGAATACTCTGTTTCAGAAATGCCGCTTACAAATTTTTATAACAAATGGCATTGTTGATTTTAAATGAATTATATTTCTTTCAAATTGTTTTCATTATTTTCTGTTACATTCTGGATGTCAAATAATTGAATACTGTAATATTTAGTTTCTCTGGCTAACAATAAATGTGACAGGCATGTTTCTGTTTAGTTTTTGGTCTGCTTGTTTGTTTGTTTGTTGTTTTTTTTTTAGCAAGAGTAATCTCTATTTTTATGTCAAAAATGTTGATAGCAATAGAATCTTTCCTTTTTTATACTCGTATTATTTGAAACTTGGTAAGCTTCAAATATGCTATTCAAAAGGCTTTTATAAAAATTTCATTGAAAAATTACTTCTTTAACAAGAAATATGTTGAATATCTAATGGAATCCTGTATGCTGAGAAGCTTTTCTTATCAACTTGGGGAAAAAACCCAAGTAATGCCCCTTTTCAATATGTGAATAACATCGATCAATATAGCTATGATTGACATAATGCAACAGTCCTGGAGAAGCTAAGAATTAATTTACTTGGCCTTAGGAAATTTATGAACATCTTATTAAAGTACACATCTTTAGCATGTCTTTTGATAATAGTAATAATATAATAAAATGGCATACTAGTATACTTAATGCCCAAGTTTAAATTATATTGTGAACTTAAAGGATATATAACGATTTACGTTTGTAACGAAGTAAAATTGTCCCTGGCACTTCATTATAAGCGTGTTTTATTGTATATATAATGTAAACTCTTATTATAATAATTGTACATGTTTATTTTGGATAATATATACAGACCATTTTTCTTTTTTTTAATCTTCATATTAAATAGATTTGTAATTTTGCCCTTAATTGTTGATAAGTAAATATCATAGGTGTACAGGAACTGCATTATCTAATTTGAGAAAAATGTTTTAAAAGTATGAAGTAATAACAGACAACACCTAGCTGAAAAATCTCTTATGAAAAAATGAAAAAGTTGTATTCTCTTCCTTTCTCAAAAGAGACATAAAACAAACTTATACACTTTTGATTGGAATAAAAAGAGGTATATGAATACACTACAGTCTTGACATGCAACAACTTTGTTCCTTAAAGTTCACATACTGGAAACATACTATTTTCAGCATGGGATTAATTTACAAGATGTATGGGGTAACAAATTTTTCCAAGGATGTTTGTCAGAGTGTAGTTGAAGTACATTTAACACTTACAAAGGCATTCCAAAAAATCTGTATAATTTTCTACCCACAGATTGAACGGAAATTAAAATTCTGCAGAATAAATACCTTAATTGTGGAAAAAAGTACATTTACAGTATCACAAACATGGGTTTTTTCATCCAATGGCATGTTGTTCAGAGGCATAGAGACAGTAAGACTGTACAGAATATGAGATCAACTCATGATTAACATTGCAAATGTTGAGTGAATTTAAAACACTATGTAACGGTCTACATCAGACAACTGTGACTTCCTTAGCAGGTATAAATCCTGAATCTCCAACCCTCCGAATTGAGACACGGCCGGACGGTCGTATAGTGACCCACGTGATGCTGGCATGATCTAGACTAATCCTTAACCAAGCTTCTGGTGGAAACTGAAGAGCCCTGGAATGGTTCAATACAAACTTTTAATGGTATTATCATTTTGAATTAAAAGATAAAGAAATGTATATAAAATGGTGTACTAGTCTATACATCTGTTCAGTGTCAATTTGATCCACTTACCTGCATATAAAGTATCTGATTACATTGGCATGGCAAACAACCACTTCATAGCTGTCCTTAGTCTGTTCAACCTCAGCTCTGTGGAAAAGTTTTCGGAAGGCAGTTTCTATTCTAGGACCATCCTGAAAGAACTGCTACAAATAAAACAGCCAGTTACAAACTGAGTCAATAAGATGAAATATACTGCTTACCTGTGTATTAGTATAGGTAAGGTGAAAAAGCAACTCATAATAGTATCAAAGAACTACGAATACTTTTTGTCTTCATTATCAGTGAAAAAAAAAATAGCTAGTTAAAACTGTGTCCATACACTGTGTATACCTCTTATTATTCTAGGATATAGGTACATAAATAAACAGCTATAATAATTGCAATATACTTTTATATCCGTGTTCTTTTGGAAATGGTAGGTAAATTATTGTATATGTTATAATACTAACAGATGCCTTGCATAATTTTCTTTTTAAGTATGATTAAACAAATATATTGTGTAAAATGTTATATTAATCCAGGTCTGGGGTACAGCAGCCACAATAAATGTTAAAAGTTTTACAAAGTTTAGTTTGCAAGTTAACTATGACCCACTCCAAGGTCATCAGTAACACTCACAAAAAAACTATTTACACTGATGTACTCTACTTTTCTTATGAAATGGTGACAGTTATGTTGTGAAATTGGTTCACAGTATAGATGTTAATATGGATATATAATATGAGATCTTCAAATCTCTTGTATATGTTGAGGTTTCATTTTTAATCTATTGATGTCTTCCAAAATTTAAGTTAACTTCCCCTGTTACCAAATACCAAGGCAAAATTTTAATGATACGGTGGGGTTAGAAAGGAAGTAGTACCGATTTTTCTGGTCTCCAATGGCCTACTGGAGGTTCAGGGGGAATCGGGGCACCCTCACACAGATTAGGTTCCCTCTCCCAGGTCAAGTGAGGGAGACATTTGTGTATGATTTCTGCTGTTTCTACAGCCCGGGTCATGGTGGATGAGATCAGTTTGGTGTATGGCAGATCTGCTTCCTTCAACCTCTGACCACAGTACTCGGCTTGTTTTCTACCTTAAGGAAGTATTTTATATTGATTAGAAATGTTCTATACAAATCAAGATTTTCTTCTCAATAGCTGAACAGAGAAACTAAATTGTATGCTAAAATAATTTACAGTTTCAAATTCATTTCCTTGGTAAATTTCAGTAATTTTTATCAACAAAAATAATCTCTTTGTTGAAAATTATAATAGAGGAATATCCTTGCTTAATATATATTAAAATATATGCAATTAAAACACACTGATTTCATATTTTTCTTATTTTACAGTGTTGTTTTATTTTGTGATAATCTTAACATTATTCTATGGATTTTACATCAGTGGAAATTGGGGAAAAAAATTGTTAAATTTGACTGATATTTCTATGAAAGCCCCTACTTAGACTTCAATTTGCACCATAATAAAAACTTCTCTTATAATATCCAATTAATTTTTTTTTCTTTTTGGTTAATTTTTTCCTTCCAGGACTTCTATTTTTCATTGTTTTTAAATTTGTTCAATAATTAAAGACAAGTATTAAGAAATCAGTAAAAAAAAGTTAAAGATGTCAAGACTCTGTGCAAGATTGTTTACAATAAAGATCATAAGATTCCCTAGTTAAAATGCTCTAACTGTAGCACTTCTTCCTAAAAATTAAAATAAAAGATTTTAAGGTCAAATGTCATTTTTCAATATTCTATCTCCATATAATTGTAGATTCTAAATGAAATTTGCTTCAATACCTTCTGGATTTCATAAAATCAAGTTATATGTACAGCCTACCTCACACAGCGATCTGTGACTCAAGGGAAATAATCTAACCTGACAGCAAAGATGAATTTTCAGTTAGGAAGGATAACTCCTATCTATACATGTAATCAGTTTCGTTGTACTAGTATAGCATAACATAGAACATCAATAAATGTTGTGCATTTAAAATAAACTTATTCACTATATATGATATTATTCATAAGCAGATGTTGCCATTAATTAAAGTAATGAAAATGCATAGAACATACCTAACGTGAAAATATGTTATGTATATTGAACAAAACTATAAACAACAGCCTGAACAGGGAGGTAATCAAACACCAAAACACTGCTTCAATATACTTAAAAAATGAGTGACAAAAATTGCTTCCTCTGTTCAAATTGCGATTTTGCATAAAAAAATCTAATTATATTTGGCAACTTTTAATTGGTGATGCAACTTGAAGCAGGCAGAAATACCTTTGCAAATAATTTTTTTTCTGTTTGACGAATTCATAACACGTGCGTTTAAATTGATTTTTGTTAACATTTCAAGGTGTAATAGCTTTCTATGAACCTACAGAAATTATATTTACCTTGTTCGGACAATGTCATACACCAGGGAAGTGTTACAACTAGAATTCGTGACCTGGTGTATTGCTTGTCAACTCATGAGCAAATAAATATCAACAGGTCACAACTTCCGCTGATTTAGAGTTATCGTTCTTTGCCTCCCCCTAGCGTTCAGTAGAAATGCTACCAACTGTGTCTTGGGACAAGCCCTCAACACAATCGTTAAACCGGGTCCGTAGGACAATATCATTTTAACAATAGAACATTCTATCTGAAGATTCCCTGGCTCATAAAAAAGGATGATGTATAACTTTACTAGAAATGTTTTACCTAATTTAGTCAGAAATCTCTCGGAATCCTCTTTTCCCTCCAGATTGTACTGTCCATGTCTGATCAGAAGTAAGTGCCGTGTGGCTGTAGGTTTCTGTTTCTCTAACTCGTTAGCTCTATCTTTGGCCTCCTTGTCTGATGAACCGTTTTTTAATGGCTTAACTAGAGATTCCGGGTCTCTCCTTATAAAACATAAAAAATAAAAATTCATCAATGTCATTTACTCATTTAGGGGACCCCCTTGATTCTGAGGGGGACGGGGTGTCTCCTGCAGATTTTTTAATAAATAATCTGTCCTCAAAAATTTGGAAATAATCCGTCCTCGACTGGCAAGAAAATAAATTATATGTCCTTGACTGGTGATACTCCTCCACCAGGAAATAGAACTTTAGAGTTCTGCAATTTTCTTTATTTTTTGATTGTCAGACTTTTTTTTCAGTGATGAAGAAAATAAATAATCTGAGTGTCCTCGATCATTATTTATTTCCAAGATGATCACTAAGACGGTTCCCAACCTTTTATTTTTTTTAAACAATAACTTATACTTAGGATTAAAACCTAATTGTTATAAAAAAAAATGTAGCTTATGATTAATTCATCATTTATAGTAAATACAACCGAGTCCTGGTGACCACGATAGTGACGATACTTGTGTTTTATGTCTGGTGAGTTACATAATGAGGAAATTCGGGATACACACCGGTCCCAGTTGTCATCCCACTTTACACTGGGTTCAAAGTTGGTCGTCCAGGACGCGTGAACTATTTTTCCTTCAGAAACGTTAATGAACAAGGCATAGCCCACAATCCCCGTGGTAGCAACGGCGCCTATTCCTTTTGAAACACACCACACGTGCCTAAACGATACCATGTTTTTCCGGAAGTAAACTATCCGTTCTATTCTTATTTTATACAGGCACGTCGATTTACCCAAATGGAACCCAAATGGACCCAAATGGACATAAATGGACCCAAATGGAAACACAAATGGACCCAAATGGAAATCAAATGGACCCAAATGGAAACCAAATGGAAACCCAAATGGAAATCAAATGGACCCAAATGGAATATTAAATATATATCATCCGTAGGCACTCCCCAGCTTAATCATGTTAATTGTTAAAAAATATATATCTACTATAGGGGTAAACTGATCTAGAGTCGGACACGATCTAGAGTCGGACAATTTTGATGCTATTTTTAACAGACTTCCTATAATGAATCCATCCTCTATCATGATCTCCTGAATCAAGCAATTCTTAATCTATCAAGAGTTGTCTTTCTTTCTCAAAAGACGATATTGCATAGTCTGGTTCCCGCCCCGCCACTCCGTTTTCACTTCGTTTTGGGGACCCCAAAACGAAGTGAAAACGGAGTGGCGGGGCGGGAACCAGACTAGATATTGCAGTCTTTTTGACCTTTAACCATCGAAAGCACTAATTACCGGGAAATTCGAAGATCCGCCTGGCAATATTTTGATCGATCAAACGTATGAAAGTTTTCACGTCGTGTAAAAGAATTTAATTTGAAAGTTAAAATTACACGTATATTATGCACTAAACATTGTAAATACACAATATGTATGGTTTTTTGAAAATATTTTATTCTATTTCGAAGAATTCAAGTTCGGACGCAATGGCTCAATTTAATCTTGAGCCGGACAGTAAATTTTAGCAATTTGATGCTAAGTCGGACACTGTTCAAGTTTTTATAAACCTTGTCACATAAATAATTGCTTGAAGAATACATGTATTATAAATTAAGTCAAATATTCGAATATCTCTATTAATAAAGATAAATCACAAATACATTTTTTTAAATTTATATTTAAAAATTAACGAAATTAATTCAAGGCAGGAAGTAGTAGGCGTGATCGTCTGATGGAAGTTGTATAAAGCGTATTGTATACTTTCAAATTAAAATGTGATTTTGATTTTAAAAACTTTAGCTAAAAAGAAATATTTCAAATTTCTTGGGGATTAAAAAACGTGATTATTGAAAATTTCTATCAATTGTTTGCATTCGACAGGGGTGGATGGGGGGTGGTGAGGAACTCCAAAGATGCCGATGCTTCATTACTGTAAACTGATGGGAACCCAACAAAACCCAGTGAATAAATGTGGCGATTTACACAGACCTTGAGTGCAGAAGAGTAACCAGCAGCTTTCAGATATTTCGGTCAAACTACCTATCAAGAGTTGTTCGATAACGGATCGTCTTCACCCCCCCCCCCCCCCAAAGCAGGTCCTGTTGTGGTTAGGGAGCAGAAGCGCACATATAAAAGAAAGACTTAAAATTAGGCAGGAATAAGTACAAACGTAACTGACATGTAATGTCTACTTATGAGACAATCTACTCCAAGACTCGAAACGGAATATTCCGTTCAGCGGAAATAGTGTGACTATTAGCGTCTTAATGATTTTGAATCGTAAAATGAAATGTAGAATATTTATGCGTTTAAAAGAAGATGGGTGAACATGACGAGTCTATAGTGTGACAAACATTAAGGTGAAAAATTAAATCTCAAATATATCAAATTTTTCCTTGCTATTTTATCTAACATTAAAATATACTTTATGTAAAATCTCTGCAATTTGCAAAAATCTCACAAAGATTGAAATTATTTACTTCTGAAATGTTATACACAAACTAAAGAGGGCAAAAAGACTCATTTTCTCATATTATAACACTATTTTTCGATATGAGTGGGTCTTCGATTCGCTCCATTTTTTGTAAAGTTAATCCTCAAAGTTTGCATAAAAATATACATTTTTTGGTTAACAAAAATATGGAACAAAACCCACTATACCTTAAAAATATACTTTTATGACATAACATTTGCATCTTTTCGAGAAATACTTGAAGTCCAATAAGTCAAGGGCCATATCACAAACATGATTTAAATCCCACTATTCATCAGGACTTGTGTAGTCTAATGGTAAGCGTGGTGGTCTCGAAAGAAAATGATACGCAGGTTTTTTATTGCTAGGGTTCGAATCACACGAATACCACATTTTTTTTTAAATAAAAGAATATATTTTGCCGACAAAGTTTTCCTCAGAAAAGTTTTGTTTTTCATAATTTCATAAATTTCAATAATGAGAATTTTACTCTAAATACTAAATTCACAAATTGAACATGTTTTTATATATCTGAAGCTATGGGCTTTCTGCACGCTATGTTCGCCCATCTACTTTCTTACATTCATACTTGATTGTGTTTTTTTAAAAAGCTAAATGTATATCAGTTAATTATGAGACCCTCTCTTTCTCTCCCCCCCCCCCTCTCTCTTTTATTGTACCTTATTTCAGATGTTGAAAAAATATATGAAATACGAGATCGTAACCTAAAAATACCAATTTACCACCGTACAATTGACTGATCTGGTCATATTTTAGCAAACCAAAACACGATATCAAGAAAAAATATTTTTCTTTCCTACATCACAGAAACACGATGTCATTAGAATGCTAAAACATAATTTGAAGGATCAATGATTATTGTAGTTTTCACATATACCTGCTGTATCCATATCAAATTCATGCGGCCAAATTCTCTTGACAAGCCAAAAAAAAAAAATAGAGAGAGAGGAGGTGGGACTGCCGAAACTCTGGGGTGGGGGGTTAAAACAAGTCGAGGTCAGATTATTTATTTTCTTCCCAGTGAAAGAAAGATTGTTTATTGCCGTAAACCCCGTCATAATCAAAGAAGGGATACTTTAAATTACACTAAGAAGTTAGGGGCAGGGAGGGGGGGGGGTCCTCTCTCTTATAGCTTCTGGCATGTATTCTTTTAAGTAAGCATGCATGATCGCCAATTTTTCTTATTTTTTTTCTGGCACCTCCCCCCTTCTTGAAATACGAGACCGTGAAAGGCCCAATGGATGCATCTTCAATGAACAAGTGCACGTCAGCATGTGCATATAGAAAGTTAATTAGTCGACACTTTTATGAATGTCCGACTCAATATCAAATGTGTCCGACTTACGAACGAATTTCGATGTTGGTGGTTCATCACATCTAAATGTTATGTTTATAGTATAATATTTACATTTCCAAATATTTTTTCTTAAGATTCTTTGCAAATTGGAATGCTGTTCATTTTCTCATGAACTACCATGGATGAGCATGAATATCTCCATTGTTACGTCATAATACCGTACTTGACGTCAAAACTATAGTGCAAACTGTTTTGCTTTAAAAATAACAGTTGAATGGCGTAATTTGTGGCAACTCATCAGAAAAATAATGTAAATATAAGAAATGAATTTAATTTTTGAAGATTCATGAGGTACATGAACTACAACGCTTCACGCCGGCATATTTATCATGAAGCGCTAACGCGCTTCATGAAATATGCCGGCGTGAAGCGTCGTAGTTCATGTCCTCATGAATCTTCAAAAATTAAATTCATTTCTTAAGTAGATATATATTTTTTAACAATTAAGCTGGGGGAGTGCCTATGGAAATGAATAATTAATCTCCATTTGCAAGTTTATTATTTTCATCATTTTAAATAAGTAACAACTTGAGAATACGATAATATATAATATTTAATATTCCATTTGGGTCCATTTGATTTCCATTTGGGTTTCCATTTGGGTAAATCGACGCACCCATTTTATACTGACAATAGAGCTTCCGGGGGTCGTAACATAGAGGGTACTTAAGTCTAAGACCGTGCTTAAGTAGGACTTAAGTACAGTCTTAAACTTAAGACCGTAACTAGAAACGTGCTAAGATTTGACAATCTTAGCAAAACTTAGGCGGCTGGTAGAGGTGACTTAAGTATGTCATAACTTTCTATAACATAGTGTATATTTAGAACTATTTAAGGACATACGCAACGTACCTTACCTACTGATAATTTTTCAAGATATTCTTAATTTAAGATTATAGTGTTATCAGATGTTCGTAGACAAAAAATCAGCATGCATTACCAGGATTTTTAAAAAGATATCAATTGATGAAAATTCTTGTATAATTCAAAGAAAAATATACAAAAATTACTAAACATATATTCTATATGTTTTGTTTATCCAAACTTGTTTTAGAAGAAGTGCACAACGGTATATATAGACATTAAAATGTAGCACACAATTCTTTTAAGTATTGGAACTCTTCAACTCAAGGGGAAAAGACAATAAAGTTCAAACTACGTTGCGTATGTCCTTAAGGAGGGATTCTTCTCTTATTCTACTCATATATCTTGTATTTAAAAATTAACGAAATGTTCATAGATTCAAGAAGACAATATCACTAAGTGATGGTATCAATTAGATTAAATTTGACCGTTTTATTTTAGAAACAAGGTCAGGTCAAGGTCATTATCTTTTTCCTTGACATTAAGAGTAAAGAAATACTGTTGCTAATCATGCGATGCCTACTTCTATTTTAAAAGATAGAATGTTTTTCTTTTTGCACAAAAAGATGTTACCAAATCGGGTCTATCAGATGATTCTACCAAATTAATTGACATTACTTAACTTAAATAGATATTGGCTAATCCGGATTTCCTCTGTTTTTCCTAGTTTTTTAGGATATATTAGTTATTTTTATATACTTCTTATATTTAAATATTTCTTATTTTTACATATGGTAAAGTAGTCATATAAATATACAAAATGATACAAAAACAAAAAGCTTTGACCGTTTAGTAAGAGAGAAAAAACACTTTTTACTGATTTTTTGCTCAAATCTGATTTAAGGTTGGAGGCCTTCAAAAGCTTACAAGATTGTAGTTTGCTTAGAAAATCATTTTCGGATAATGAAAAATGAAAAAAAAAGATTACTCTATATAGATATTTACCTGTATAAAAAACGAATGTACATATTAATGACACTACTAGTATATATTGATAATCTTGAAGTAAGCGAGTAAGCGAGTATTTTTAAAAGGATTTTATCCAGATTATCCATGAAATAATACACTAACTATGTCATAGGAAATATGTTCAGTACTCCAGTGGATGTTCATCGGGACTGGAGAAGGGCGGGGTAGGGGGTCCTGCCCAATATTTGTATTTTGTGATTATTTTTTATTATAGAAATGTGTGTGGAGGGGGGGGGGGTACTGATAATCAAGTTATTCATGAGGTCCAATAAAAAAATTTCCACTCGACTGTGACCGTTGATCGATCTTTTACTGATCGATATCAATGCACGTGTCTGCCGCTTCATCTGCTCCGGAGATTTTCATTGCTGACGTGGATAAACTCTGTATGTAAATCTTACCCCACCTCTGTTGATTTTTCGATGAAATCCTGGCTTACGATTGGTTGAAGTCTGTCACGTGAAGGGGGTGTATTACTTATACCTAGTCGCTTGAAAATCAATACATGGTCGATACGGAGTTATCGTTCTTTTGTAACGTTCGAACAACTCGAGTTCACGCGATTTGCCGAGTGTCTGTTGACAATGTTACAGTTAACTAATGTAAGTAACGAAGATGGAACATTTTTCTCCCTTTACTGAAAGTCTTCAAAACTGTCAGTACGTTAATATTACAGCACGAAACACTCGCAAAACAACATTACGTCACACAACGTGACGTCATAATAGGCATTGTATGAGTGATGAAACATATATAGTGAGAAAAACAATTTTACAAACCACAGACAATGCATAAATATTTTATCGGTGGGGTAAATTCGTTACATAGTTTTTTAGTGACAGGGTACGGGATGATACCTGGTTAGTAAATTTCATACCTGGCTCGGCTTCGCCTCGCCAGGTATGAAATTTACTAACCAGGTATCATCCCGTACCCTGTCACTAAAAAACTATGTAACTAATAATACACACAATAGTACGGAAGCGTATTAGGGCCGCAGCAGTATCTTTTATTAATTTGTTTTAACAGATTACTAATTTGTTATAACAGATTACTAATTTGTTATAACAAATTACTAATTTGTTATAACAAATTACTAATTTGTAATAACAAATTATCAATTTGTTATAACAAATTACTAATTTGTTAAAACAAATTACTAATTTGTTATAACAAATTATCAAATTACTAATTTGTTATAACAAATTACTAATTTGTTATAACAAATTATCAATTTGTTAAAACAAATTACTAATTTGTTACAACAGATTACTAATTTGTTATAACAGATTACTAATTTGATATAACAAATTATCAATTTGATATAACAAATTAATAATTTGTTATAACAAATTAATAATTTGTTATAACAAATTAATAATTTGTTATAACAAATTAATAATTTGTTATAACAAATTAATAATTTTGATAAAGTGAAAGTGTATACAGATCTATGGAAGCCAGATGAGATCAGAAATCTTTTTATAAGTTGGATTTGTGAAAATAATAAATGTACAAGCTCTGCAGCTACAGCTTTTGACCAATATGTTAATCTGGATTTACATCTTTTAGCATTTAGAGTTTTCACTGTCAAACATTATTGTTATAAAGATACAATGCTTCAAATTTTTTGGTTCCTATTTACTTATTCTTAGGAGCTCTATTTGAATTTTGTCCTCCTCCCCCACCAGGGCTCCGTCCTTGACTCCCATTTACCAGGTCATTGCATCCCCGTTCGTATGCTAGGAAAAAATATCTTATCAAAGACATGTTATTTGGAGAGGGAATTTTTCCCACCCTGAATCAACATGTTCATTATAATATGTTTTTTTTTTCAATATGTCTTTTATTTTATTTCATTTTACCCCCCCCTCTCTCTCTCTCGATTCATTCTATACATGTACCAAATGATTTATGCCTACTGTTCAATCCAGTTTATGTATCATGAATAAAATATATTTTAAACTAAACCGCCGTTCCTAATGCATAAACCTGAATCTGCTCCTCTGTTGAACCTCCTTGGCCCCAATTTATGCTGGGGGCAATAAAGGCAACATTGATAAAAAATGAATTTGTAGATAAATTATCATAGAAAAATTGATAAACACTCTGTAATAACCTTTTCTGAAAACGAAAATAAACAATATTCTTGAGTGGGTAGTACTTCTTAAATTTGAATTTAGATACCTCGTGAAATTTTTTCATGTATGTATGTAATTTTTATAATCAAAATACGTGCCTTTTGGAAAAGCCTTCGAAGTCCCACTAATTAGTAATTTGTTAAAACAAATTAATAAAAGATACTGCTGCGGCCCTATTACGCTTCCGTACAATACTATATCCTTATTTTTATAAATTTTAATTTTAGGGAATTATGCCCGTTAGAGTGTACTAGAGGCTTCTGAATCCCTTCCCGAGATTCATGTGCATTTCCTGTCGAATCCACTACGCAGATTTAGGTATGTAATTTTCGAGTTTGTTTATCAAACATGCAAAGTAGCGTGTTTGTCTCTAAAAAGTTAAAATTTATTAGCATTGGCCATATAAAATATTTTGTTCGTCGAGAAATGGATCTAAACAAATCGCACACCCCTTTTTTTAAAAGCCTTAGGAGATTCACGGTTTTAATTTGAAGCAAAAATTTTCAAGGCCTGTAACGCGCGTTATGATAAGGCCGTTTCAAGTTTTTTTTTTTTTCCATGTTCAGCGTATATGCGGTCGGATTGGTTTTTGAGGTTATGAAATTAAAAACAAACGCAAATTAAATTGAATTTTTATTCATCTTTACTAAACTTTAGGTGAGGTCACAAAAAGGAGGGGGAGGGGTTGTTGTATTGTGTTTTTCCACGTGTCATTGCACTCATCGTATTGCTTCCGATATTACCGTAATCTTTCCGTCAGCATACCGCCAGATCCGTAGTGATATCACAACAATCCGTCCAGACACCGCAAATTTTCGTTCTGACAACGCCATTCCCCGTCCCCACTACGTTGTTAGTCTGTAGACAACGTCTCTTCTCCGTTGCAATTTGAACAACCGAGTGTTTCCGCGAAGCGAACGTAAACATATACCCGCGGAGGACCGTACTATTCGACACCGCGTCAGCCGTGCTAAAACCGCGTAGGTGATCGAGAACGGAGCTTAATCGAGCTCAAAATTTCATTGAAACAATACAGATTGAGCAGAACAAACACAGACCTCTAAAAAATATCAGAGATGGGATCAGGTGCCACGGAGGAGTAAGCACCCCCTGTCGACTGATCAACCTGCCGTGTACTTGTCAGGATAAATGTCGGGAAAATCCGTGGACAATTCAGCGTGAAAATAATGGCCTAACAATTTGTATGAAAATATATCAGTCAACATATGACATAACAATAAACTGTACAATATATTTGTTTAACAAGGTTATTGTGTCGACCATAGAATTTACCAAATGTTGACTTTAAAGAGACTGTTAATATCCCTGTATCATCCACTTATTTGTCATTAGCTTGTTTCTTTTTTAGATATTGTTCGTATGTAGAACATCTCTTGTGTATCGAATCAACTGGCAGACATAAACTCCATATATTGCTACATAAATAAGGAAATTTGACGTCTTGTTTATCATAAATTTAGTTGTTAGTTTGCCATCAGTGTCTTTCTCTGGTAAAATGTTCAAATATAAAGAGATGCGTCAGACTCTTTGTGTTGCGAACAGTCGCAATTTCAAGAACTTTTATAGAAATTTAATAAATTAATTTTAATTATGTAAAGTCTAGAATGTTCTACATGTTACCTGAATGAATGATCAAGAATTTTCTAGAGTATGTGAGAATATGATGACCTAGAATTTTACAGAACTTTCTATTTCTAGATGTTTCCTTCATAGTATATAAGTGACAGTTTTAGATTGAAATTAGATTGAAAACAAAGATTAAGTATATATCAGAAAACATTCTGAATATCTTAGCCAATGTGGTATTGTGATTGTTAACCCTTGTGGATTTGTTATTTGCCTTTAATTGCCATAATAAATGATGAAGAAGATTTCCGTGTGATTGTGAGTTGCCACACTTTGGTTGACTTTTATTTTGAGTTCTTAAGGTTATATCGAATCAACGTAAGAATGAAAATTAAGTGTTAATGGATAAAACGCTGTACATACCTAAATGTCAATTTGAAAGCCACAGCAAGAGACTTCTTTTCATGTATGTATCGGATGTATGTTAAAATCTCGCATTTAGCGATTGAGGGGCAAAATGAACACCAGCTATCCTTCTGTGTTCAATAATGCAGAAGTGAAAAAAGAATTTTAAAATAGATTACACGATCAATATTTACTGGTCCCTGCTTCAAAACCATATGCCAGTTTTGAATATTTATAATATTCCCAACAACCAACATGAATCTATAATGGATTCCGAAACTTCATAAAAATCCTTACAAACAAAGACACATAGCAGGTTCCAGTAAATGTTCTACCAAGCATCTTTCTTTACTCCTCACTAAAATATTAACAGTAATGAAGAAGAAACTTCAGGAGTACTGTGCAACAATGTATTCGAGAAGCGGTGTAAATCAGATGTGAATACTTAAAAGTTCCAAGGAATTTTTGGAAAACTTGAAATCACAAAATTTTACCAAAATCAACAACATAAAAACTTACGACTTTTCAACTTTATATACAACCATTCCCTACGATAAATTAAAGTCCAGGCTTTTTGACAACATTGACAGCTGCTTTTTCAATAAAAATGGAACTTGTAAATTTACTACTTTGTCATTGGTCATTTGCAAAATTATTTTGTTAAAAAACAATCTGATTGTACACAAAGGCACTCTGAAGTTGATATTAAAAGATACTTGAGTTCCTGATTGACAGTATGCCAATATCTATGTGGTTTTTTTTGGAGACCAGGTCTTCCAACAATCTATTGGATTTCCCATGGGTACCAATTGCGCCCCGTTATTAGCAGACCTATTTCTGTATTCATATGATGCAGAATTTGTTCAAAATCTTGTACGTGAAAAGAAGAAAACGCTTGCTGTGGCCTTCAACTCGACACTTAGATATATCGACGACGTATTGTTTATTAACAATGGTTATTTCCATTCGTATGTCGATACGATATATCCCAGTGAGCTTGAAATAAAAGATACCACAGAGTCTGACACATCTGTTTCATATTTGGATATTTTACTAGAAAAAGACGTTAATGGTAATCTAACAACCAAGCTTTATGATAAACGTGATGACTTTAACTTTTCAATCGTCAACTTCCCTTACTTATGCAGCAATACACCTTCATCACCTGCATACGGGGTTTATATCTCTCAATTGATTCGATACACAAGAGCATGCTCTGCGTATGAACAATTTCTTAAACGAGGTAAGTTATTGACAAACAAGTTGATGAAACAACAATATCAGCAGTCTCGTTTAAAGTCGTCATTTCGTAAGTTCTATGGTCGATACAATGACCTTGTCAGCAAATACAATTTATCATGAAGTCAAATGCTGACTGACGTTTTTCATACTAATTGTTAGGCCGTTATTTACACACTTGATTGTCGACGGATTTTTTCGTTATTACCCGATCATGACAAGGGGCACATGGCGGGTGTGACCGGTCGGCAGGGGATGCTCACTCCTCCATGGCACCCGATCCCACCTCTGATGTTTAGAGGTCCCTGTTTGCTCTGCACCAAAATTAACATTGTTTAATGGACTTTTGAGCTTGAATACTGTTCGTTATCTCCATACATTTCATGTAGAAGTTTGTTTTTTTGTTTTTTAATAAATTCATCTTCATATGAATAGAAAAAAAACAGGTCTGCTAATAACGAGGCAACAATTATTACCCATGGGAATTTCAACAGATTGTTAGAAGATCTTATCTCGAAAAACTACATAGATATTCTGAATCAGAAACCCAAGCATCTTTTTATTATCAACTTTTTGGAGTATTTGTTTGTAGAATTAGATTTTTTTTTTTTTGGATACAGTAAAATAAGTTTGCAGATAACCACGATAAGGTATGTAAATTTACGAGTGCCATTTTTACTGTAAAAGCAGTTGTCTATGCTGTGATTGCTGTGATGCTATGATTTTATAGAAAACCCTAATCAGGCCCGTAGCAACAGTTTCAAAGGGGGGGGGGTAACCTCCCAAAAAAATCTGACAAAAAACAAAAAAAAAACAAAAAAAAAAACAACAACAACAAAAATACACAGCCAAAAAACAAACCTTAACTGTCCAAACCCTGGAATTTGCAAGTGCTCGGCCTTACAGTAACAAAAAGTGGGGGGGGGGGGGAGGGGGGGGTGGCAACCAGCATCTAAATGAAAATTTACTATACACAGTAAATAGTGGAGGGGGCCCTCCCCCCTCAACGTTCTATGGGCCTACCAATGCAACACATATGCCAGTCTGGTCATGTTGGGCTTCTAATCAATTGTAAATGGACCTCTACTAATTTTAACTCTATTTCTTATCTGTCAATACATAAAATTCACTATACGTTTTAAAGCAATATGAATTGCAACTTTGATGTCGGAAATTTTTGTTGCAGTTTTGTAATTAACTATTTCAATGGCAAAAAAAAAAGAAACTTTATAAACTTCTGATTTTTATGTTTGTGAAGGAAGAACTAATTCTAAGCTTTGATTGAAGCAAAATTACATTATTGTCATCCTGTACAATGTTGATTTCCTATATAATACTATACATTCCAACGTACAGAAATTTTTCTTCTGACACAATTTAATACTTTATTTTAGATCAATTGATCATAAAGATTTCAGTTACATACAGATTTATCATAAAATCACATTTTAACAGCAAAATAAAATTTAAAAAAATGAGCTCATATACGTTTTAAGTATGCTCAACATTTATGTATATTGTACAGGTATAACAGAATAAATAGAATTTTAGCAGTATACTTACCATATATTTCAAGCGTGGGGTCATCATACGTTTAAAATGTATATTGAATACGGAAGCGTATTAGCGCCACGTAATATTATTTTTTAAGTTGGTAATTCCAACTTTAAAGTTGGCTTTTCCAACTTTAAAGTTGGAATTTCCAACGTTAAAGTTGGAAAGTAAAGTTGGTACTAATACGCTTCCGTAATTGAAAATGTTTCAAATTATAATTATGATAAACTGAATATATACATATGTTATACACAAATGTAACACAACAACAAATATGTTGCTAGTTTTCCTTTAATGATAAATATTTTTTAAATTACATTGAACAAACGCTGTAATGTTGCTTGTTTTACATGATATACATATATGATACGCATAATGATCGCATATTGAACAAAGATCTTATCTTTGGCAAGAAATATAAAGTCCACTAATGTAACAAAACTTTCTTTAATTCGTATGCAGTGAATACAGATCAATCGGAAGTTAAAAGGATAGAAAAAATCAAAATGTACATTTACTCCGGTCCTTTAAATGCAAGTCTGCAGCATATAAATATAACATTGTGTGGATCTAGGAAATTTTCCCGGGTGGATCAACACCAAATCAAAGGAAAAAAATCCTCCGAATCTTTTCGACAAGCACAAAAAAAAGATGTGTTTGTGAAACACTGATGCCCCCGTATGGCAGCTTATGACGAAGGTTAAAGTTTCTCAAATGCAAGTCAAAATCCAGGCCAAAAGATAAACAAGAGGCCCAAGGGCCTTAACGGTCACCTGAGTACAATACAACAATTTAGAGGATCCATAAACTGATAAAAGAAGTTTTGTTGCACAAAAGCAAGAAAAATAGTATGATAAGCATCAAAAAAATAATTGGTATAGAATCTATCTGTCCCCCATTTATCACAATTACCATGCAGACTATTAACAAAATGTTTATTTTTAACTCCATATTATTACTTCTCACATTGGTCTCTCTTGGCCATTGAAGAACATTAAAAAAGATAAGTTATTTTTGCCTCTCTTTTATTCATCTATTATTTCCAAGTCTAACTGATCATTAAAACTATGAAAGTACTTTTTTTATTATACAATAAATATTCTTGCATAATTCTCTTATTCTATTAACCTTTCAAATACATTATTTACAGTGATTAATTGTCAAAGGTAAATGGCAAAGGGGAATAACTTTGCTGAGCTGAATACAAGTTCATAGAGCCCTGGCCAGGACCAGATCACTTGACTAAATAATCCAGATGTTCAAAATTTTGGTAAAAATACCCTTGCATATTAAAATTTTACTCTGTTTGCCTTGGATATGCCCAGAAGCATAGAAGATTTTCAAAGACATGCATTTTCACTATATTATTAAATAAATAAAGCCCTCCCCCCCCCCCTTACACCAGAACATCTTACCCAGGGGTCATAAACTCACAATTCTGGAAGAAGCACCTTGCTCATCATAACTATACACTTGTTTCTTTGCTTTATTACCAGCAGTAGAAAAAATATTTTGAAAGAAATTATGCATTTTCACTATATAATCAATAGAGCCCCCCTCCTTTCACCTGAACCCCTGACCCAGGAGCCATGAATTTCACAATTTTGGAAGAGGCATTCTTCCTTATCATAACCATGCACTTCCTTTGTTTGAATAATACCTAGGAGCAGAGAAGAAGATTTTGAAAGAATTTGTGCATTTTCCCTATATAATCAATAGAGCCCCGCCCTATCACAAAAACCCTTAACCAAGGGGCCACGAAATTCACAATTTCTGAGGAGGCAGCCATGCTCATCATAACTATTACTTAGTTAATTTAATATCCAGGAGAAAGAAGAAGATTTTCAAAGATATAATGCATTTTCACTATATACATCAATTGAGCCCCACCCTAACACCAGAACCCCTGACCCAGGGACCATGAAATTCACAATTTTGGAAGAGGTAACCATACTCATCGTAACTATGCACTAAATTAATTTATTTAATACCCAGGAGCAGAGAAGAAGATTTTCAAAGAAATAATGCAATTTAACTTTGTAATCAATAGAGCCCCGCCCTAACACCTGAACCCCTGACCCTTGGGTCATGAAGTTCACAATTTCTGAAAAGGCAGCCATGCTCATCATATCTATGTTTTTAGTTAGTTTATTTGATATCCAGGAGCAGAGAAGAAGATTTTCAAAGAATTAATGCATTTTCACTATATTGTCAATAGAGCCCCGCCCTAACACCTGAACCCCTGACCCTGGGGCCATGAAATTCACAATTTTGGAAGAGGCACTCTTGCTCATCATAAATATGTACTTAGTTACTTTATTTAATATCCAGGAGCAGATAAGATTTTCAAAGAATTAATGCATTTTCACTATATAATCAGTAAAGCCCTGCCCTAACACCAGAACCCCTGACCCTGGGGCCATGAAATTCACAATTTTGGAAGAGGCACTCTTGCTCATCATAATTATGTACTTTTACTTTATTTAATACCCAGGAGTAGAGAAGAAGATTTTCAAAGAATTAATGCATTTTCACTATATATATTCAATAGAGCCCCGGCCTAACACCAGAACCCCTGACCCTGGAAGTTCACAATTTTGGAAGAGGCACTCTTGCTCATCATAACTATGTACTTAGCTATTTCATTTAATACCCATAAGCAGAGAAGAAGATTTTCAAAGAATTAATGCATTTTCACTATGTAATCATTTGAGCTCTAACACCAGAACCCCTGACCTAGGGCCATGAAATTAACAATTTTGGAAGAGGCATCTTCCTCATCATAACTATGTACTTAGTTCATCGGCTGAATACCCAGGGACAAAGAAGATTTTTAAAGATTAATGCATTTTCACTATATAATCATTAGAGCCCCACTCTAGCGCCAGAACCCCTGACCCTGGGGCCACGAATTTCACAATTTTGGTAGAGAGCTCAATGCTTATTACAATTCCAACAGTTTGACTGCTTGATGTCCAGGAGTAAAGAAGAAGATTTTTTAAAGATTGCATGAATTTTAATGGTTTTAGCCCCACCCCTCAGGCACCAGGGGGCAGGGGCCATAAATTTCACAATTTTTACTTCCCTTCACCCATAGAAGCTATATGCCAAATTTGGTTGAAATTGGTTCAGTGGTTTCAGAGAAGAAGCTAAAATTGTTCAAAAGTTTACGAACGATTGACGACGTACGACGACGGACGAAAACAGATAGCAATAGGTCACCTGAGTGACTCAAATGTTGGTACCCACAGAAAGGTCTTGTCTCGAGGAATAAACCTGTGAAATTGAAAGCCCTAGCTGCAACTGTTCAAAAGATATGGCGAAGGTTAAAGTTTTTTTTTAAGTAAGTAAAACGTCAAGGTCAAGGTCAAAGTTGTTGGTATTCAAAGGAAGGTCTTGTCACAAGGATTACGTATGTGAAGTATGAAAGCCCTAGCACCAACAATTCAAAAGTTATGGCAAAGGTTAAAGTTTTTCAAAAGTAGGTCAAACTCCTAGGTCAAGGTCAAAAGGTCAAAGTGGTTGATATCCAAAGGAAGGTCTTGTCACAAGGATTACATATGTGAAGTATGAAAGCCCTAGCTCCAACCGTTCAAAAATTATGGCCAAGGTCAACGTTTTTCAAAAGTAGGTCAAACTCCTAGGTCAAGGTCAAAGAGGTTGATATCCAGAGGAAGGTCTTGTCACAAGGAATACACATGTGAAGTTTGAAAACCCAAGCACCAACTGTTCAAAAGATATGGCCAAGGTTAAAGTTTTTCAAAAGTAGGTCAAACTCCAAGGTCAAAGTTATTGGTATCCAAAGGAAGGCCTTGTCACAAGGAATACACATGTGAAGTTTGAAACCCCAAGCACCAACTGTTCAGAAGTTATGGCCAAGGTTAAACTCTCAAAAAGTTTTGCAAAAGTGGGTCAAACTCCAAGGTCAAGGTCAAAAGGTCAAATATGATGGTACCCAAAGAAAGGTCTTGTCACAAGGAATACACACGTGAAATATGAAAGTCATAGCTCCAACCAATCAAAAGTTATGGGCAAGGTTAAAGTTGACAACAGACAGACATCAAACAGGCAAACAGGACAAAAACAATATACCCCCGGGATTTTTCGATCCGGGGGCATAAAAAAGAAGAATCTTTAAATTGAAATAGGTCTGGGGCTTGATAGGGGTTGAAAAATCTTGGGCTGGGGTGAGGGCGATATAGCATGTTTAGATTAAACTCATAGATTTTTACCAAACTTAGTCATTTTCACAAAGCTAATATATTTAAATTTTTTCAGATTTCTAAGAAAGACGCCATCATGTCGAGACTATTTGTAGAGTCCGTTGACGAATGTCCACCCATAGAAGGAATCATCGAAGGTACATGTTTTTGAAATCAATTTTAAAATTACAGCCATTTACATGTTGGTTCAATGCTCCCTGTTGTTCTCACATTTATTCTGGTTTAACTCAGGTAGAGTACCTTCCTGGATCAAGGGCACTTTATTCAGAAATGGGCCAGGACTATACGAGTTTGGGAAATACAAGATGAATCACATGTTCGATGGAATGGCAGCGGTACAAAGATGGACATTCCGTGATGGAAAAAATCACATATCAACGGAAGTTCGTCAACAGTCAGGCGTTTCAAAGAAACCAAAGTTCAAACCGTATAGTCTTTACGGAATTTGGTACACACAAAGTTCCAGATCCTTGCCTGAATATATTTCAAAGGTATTCATTATTTGTTTATAATTCTGCAAAAAATAAATATGGAGGAAACGATAGCATATCTGTACAAATTCCCTAGCAAACTCAGGAAATTTTAGAGACTACTACAGTGTACACTCGGAGAAAATTCTCTAGTGCTATAAACCTTAGGTGCTTGTTTCTATAATCAAAGTATATACCCATTGAATAATAATAATATACAATGAGTATATACTTTGATTATAGAAACAAGTACCTAAGGTTTAAAAGTTTAGCACATAGTATAATAATAATAATATACCGTGGGCTAAACTTTTAGAAAGAAGTGTCTGTGCTATGTACACAGTCGTAGGAATGACGTAATAATTATGCCCCCGGATCGAAAGATCCCGAGGGTATATTGTTTTTGTCCTGTCTGTCTGTTTGTCTGTCTGTCTGTTGTCAACTTTAACCTAGCCCATAACTATTGCGCTGTCAAGGGTAAGGCTTTAATATTTGACATGAGTGTTCATTATGACAAGAACTTTCTATTGGTACAGAAATTTTTGATCATGTGACCTCAACTGTGACCTTTGACCTACATTTGAAAAACTTTAACATTGGCCATAACTATTGCACTGTAGTCTACGTCCCACTGCAGAACTGTGTTACCATCGGGGGCATAGTGTTTCACAAACACATCTTGTTTTTTTTTTCTATAAACATATCGTCATCTTAAATTTACTTTGAATCTATATACAGCAGTGTTTTAAATTTCAGTCAATAAAATGCATAACAATCCAATTAATTTTACGATGTTTGAAGTTAATCTAAAAGAAAACGCTTATTTAAAAAAAAAACAACATAATTTTGATTTTCAGTCAATCTACATCATCGAATTTTCGCGACATCTTATTTTCGCAAAAATAGTTATTTGTTTTTATAAACGATATCAAACTTTCACGAATATAGGTTATTGTTGTATACAATCTTCAATACAAAAATTGAAAAAAATTTACAACTCATCAATGCAGTTTTGATCAAATTTCAGTTCAATATTTAAAAGTTTTACTTAAAGAAAGCTTCTTTAAAACAAAATATTGATCAATTTTCAAACAATATTTTTTTTTACTTGAAGTATTTTGGAAGAAGTACCGATATTTGGAATTTTCAATCTAATATCACCCAGATTATTAATAGCAAAAAGACATAACTCTTAACCAACCAACCCCATCCCCGAAGCTCAGAAAGCATAATCTGCAATTTTTCTATGTACAACAGTGTACCAAACCCAAATTACACATCTTGAAATGTAATGCAGGTAATCTTACAGTAGAAATATTTATTATTAATCAATAGTTATATTTGAAAAAAATGATTAAAAATCAAAGCAACTCATACTTGATCCAAGTGTGTTCTAAATTCAACTAAATATCAAATTTCATTAAAATATCCCAAAACTAACGTAAAACCCTCCAGAAATCGATTTTTTTTATTTCCCACTTATCCTGTTATAATTCAAAAAGCATTTCACCGTTTGGTTTAGCTGTACAAAATTTATCATTGAAACTTAATTTTTTTTATTTGAAGATTATTAGTATATTCTTTTAATATCAAGAAAAATTTATAAAGCGACCCTCTCCTCTTGTTTCAGATTCATTTCGTTCTTCACATCTGATGAGAACACCGATAACACCTGTGTCACAGTCTGGCCTCAAGGAGACAGGGTTTTTGTTTCTACGGAAACGGTCAAAATTCATGAAATTAACCCAGAAACACTGGAAACTCTGCAAACAGTAATTATAATTTTTTTCTTTCATGTACGTATAAATTACAATATGTTTTTTTCCTCTCCAGAAGTAGAAGTAGAAAAATTTCATCTTTCTGTACATAGGTAAATTTGTCCGACTTTTTGACCATAAACACAGCCACAGCACACACGCATTGGGACAACGATGGCACTGTACATCATTTTGGTTTCTGGTTCAAAGGAAAAGACCCAAAGTATACCTTATTTAAAATTCCACCAAAAGCAGGTGATTATGTGATTAGCATTCCTTTTATATCACTGAGGCCAGATGCCTGATGCAACATACCCCTTTATGTCTTCTACAGAGGAATATATCAGTAGCGTTTGTGTTCCCTGATGTCATTTGCTCAGAAACTAAAATAGCATGAATTAATCTCTGGCAAAAAAAAAAAAAAGAATTAAAAAAAACTTTTCGAATCATTTGTAGAAGTAAAGGACGCATATTCTAATATCGACATTGTTGGGTCTGTGCCTAGCAGATGGAAGTTACACCCCAGCTATGTCCACAGTTTCGGAATCACGGAAGACTTCTACGTCTTTGTGGAGCAGCCCCTTGTATTCGACATTTTGAAGTTTGTGTCTATGAACGTAGCAAAAAGAGGAATTGAAAAAAAATTTGACATGGTTTCCAAAAGAAAAAGTAGGCCCAAGTGAAGCATTGAACGAATATGTCCCAGTAAATTGGTTTAAGCACAATTCAATTAATCATTTAGGGTTTATGATTTAAGCTACATTGTATTTGATTTTTTTTTAATGTAATTCTAAATTAGGGGAAAAATTATCCCCTCGCTCTGAAAAAAATCATACAAATTAGTTTTTGGTGCTTTAAGTAATCAATATATTTGGTCGTTTTCAGACATTATTTTACATGTTGAACAGAAAGACCGGAAAACGCCACAACCCCTCAGTGAAATATAGCGGGGACCCCATGTTCATGTTCCATATCATCAACAGCTACCAAGAGGAAGGTCAAGCAGGACATTTGTTTTATTTTTATTTAATTAATCTTTTAGAGGTTGAATTTCAAATAATAATAATAATCATATAGTTAAAAATACTGCAGATACGAAATTGGAATATTAAGATTCTCCATACCTAGATTTTCTGGTGTTTGATGTCTGTGCATTTAAGGACAACACAATCATTAAGACTTTGTACCTGAAGAACTTTACAGAGGAGAAGATAGCCGAAACAATGAAAAACCTACCAGGAGCTAGTGTTCGTAGATATGTGTTCCCATTAAACATCGATAAAAACGTAAGGTTTGATCACTCTTTTTATACCAACATAAATGTATAAACTATCCTGTATTCTTATTTCTTAAATAAAAAAAAAAACAGACTGCAAACATATAAGGTTTTAACTTTTAAAAATCAAAATTCTCATGCTTTTCAGACTCCATTGAACGAGAACCTGATTACCCTGCTCGGGTGTACAGCTACCGCAGTGAAGATATCAGCCACAAAGGTCTACTGTAGCTGGCAGGAGATTGACACACAAGGACATGGTAGGGTTCATAAACTTTTAGAATTCTCAGCATTTAAAACTACCAGTATTGATATTTCCAGATAACAATCCTGCGAATTCAAAAACCTAAGGTAACATACTGAAAATTTATTCTATAAAATCCATGATATTCAACTTTGGCTTAAAGAAAATCAAAAATATTATATAACATAGAAAAACTAAAAATATGTAACATTTTTCCCTAGTAATGTTTGTAAAGTAATACCCTAACCATGGTAACATTTTCTTCATTTCTCCTTCATGGACGAGAATGTTTTACAGGGTTTGAGCTTCCACAGATTAATTATACACACTATAACGGGAAGAAGTATAGATATGCCTATGGAGTTGGTAAAGATTTATCAAAGCAGGTACACACAATCTACTCGTGTCAGTTACATAAAAATAATGAAGGAATACGTGTTCCATTCTTACTTACCATACAACAAAACATTAGCACTAGTGTTAGAACTTTTAATTCCATATTCAGTTAACGTTATTGCCGTGTTTTTAAATTATGATTGAATTCTTTTAAACATATAGCTGGTGAAACTGGATATGGACACTCAAGAAGTCAAATTGTGGTCGGCAGAGGGGTACTTCGTATCGGAACCAGTGTTTTTAGCTACCCCCGGGGCTACCAAGGAGGATGATGGTGAGGGATAGTAAATTAATTCAATCTGAAGGAAAAATGATACTTTATGATTCTTCATCTTTGCAAAGCCTGTGACTTAGCCTCGTTAATAAGAACGTAGAACTCATAAGATTGTTGACAGAAAGTAAATACTTACTGTCGGGTTCGAATCCCATAGCGGGACTCGGAGACCGGTCCTTCAGATGAGATCATATACATGTAAACACAGGTCCCTTGTTGCAGTAGGTGGTGGCATGAAAAAGATCCATCACTGCTCAATGGCCCTAAGTGCCGAGTATCGGTCTAAATTTGCATCCTTCCGCCGGCAAGTCTCCATATGAGTAAAAATTCTCGAGAGGAACGTTAAACAACAAACCAACAAACAAATACTTACTGCAGAGAAACGCCAAAAGAAACAATGATTGTCTGAATTTAAATTATTGAATTAAATTTAAAAAAAACAAGAGGCCCATGGGCCACATCGCTCACCTGAGCACATTGGCTAGGAAAAAAAGCAAAAATCAGTAAATATTGAAAAGTTTACAGGGAGGGGGGGTGTTGAATTTTAAACTACCTGATGATGCTTTCATATCAATATAACAAATGGCTTTGTTGTTCTTGAGCAGCAGATTTTTTTCCCATATATTCATTTGTAAAAATTTGATCCCCATTGTGGCCCCACCCTACCCCCAGGGGCCCTCATTTGAACAAATTTCATTCTACACTACCCAAAGATGCCTCCATATCAATTTGACTAATCATGGCTTTTCTGTTCTTGAGAAAAAGACTTTTTCCTATATATTCCTCTGTAAACTTTGATCACCCATTGTGGCCCCAACCTATCCCCGGGGTAATGATTTGAACAAACTTGAATCTTCACTATCTGAGGATGCTTCCATATAAATATGACCAATCATGGCTTTACTGTTCTTAAGAAGATTTTTAACGATATTTTCCTATATATTTCTATGTAAAACTTTGATCCCCCATTGTGGCCCCACCCTACCCCCGGGGGTCATGATTTGAACAAATTTGAATCTTCACTACCTGAGGATGCTTTCATATAAATATGACCAATCATGGCTTTACTGTTTTTAAGAAGAAGATTTTTAACGATATTTTCCTATATATTTCTATGTAAAACTTGGATCCCTCATTGTGGCCCAACCCTACCCCTGGGGGTTATGATTTGAACAAATTTGAATCTTCACTACCTGAGGATGCTTCCATATAAATATGTTCAATCATGGCTTTACTGTTCTTAAGAAGAAGATTTTTAAAGATATTTTCCTATATATTTCTATGTAAAACTTGGATCCCCCATTGTGGCCCCACCCTACCCCCGGGGGTCATGATTTGAACAAACTTGAATCTTCACTACCTGAGGATGCTTCCATATAAATATGACCAATCATGCCTTTGCTGTTCTTAAGAAGAAGATTTTTAAAGATATTTTCCTATATATATCTATGTAAAACTTTGATCCCCCATTGTGGCCCAACCCTACCACCGGGGGTCATGATTTGAACAAACTTGAATCTACACTACCTGAGGATGCTTCCATACAAATATGACCAATCATGGCTTTGCTGTTCTTAAGAGGAAGATTTTTAAAGATATTTTCCTATATATTTCTATGTAAAACACGGATCCCCCATTGTGGCCCCACCCTACCCCCGGGGGTCATGATTTGAACAAACTTGAATCTTCACTACCTGAGGATGCTTCCATATAAATATGACCAATCATGCCTTTGCTGTTCTTAAGAAGAAGATTTTTAAAGATATTTTCCTATATATATCTATGTAAAACTTTGATCCCCCATTGTGGCCCAACCCTACCACCGGGGGTCATGATTTGAACAAACTTGAATCTACACTACCTGAGGATGCTTCCATACAAATATGACCAATCATGGCTTTGCTGTTCTTAAGAGGAAGATTTTTAAAGATATTTTCCTATATATTTCTATGTAAAACACGGATCCCCCATTGTGGCCCCACCCTACCCCCGGGGGTCATGATTTGAACAAATTTGAATCTACACTACCTGAGGATGCTTCCATAAAAAATATGACCAATCATGGCTTTGCTGTTCTTAAGAAGAAGATTTTTAAAGATATTTTCCAATATATTTCTATGTAAAACTTGGATCCCCCATTGTGGCCCCACCCTACCCCCGGGGGTCATGATTTGAACAAACCTGAATCTACACTACCTGAGGATGCTTCCATAAAAATATGACCAATCATGGCTTTGCTGTTCTTAAGAGGAAGATTTTTAAAGATATTTTCCTATATATTTCTATGTAAAACTTGGATCCCCAATTGTGGCCCCACCCTACCCCCGGGGGTCATGATTTGAACAAACTTGAATCTACACTATCTGAGGATGCTTCCATATAAATATGTTCAATCATGGCTTTACTGTTCTTAAGAAGAAGATTTTTAAAGATATTTTCCTATCTATACTACTATATTAAAATAATAGACTCGAATTTTTGGCCTTTAATACCGATAAATCGGAAGAGAACTGTCTTTTGTTTTATATATTTTAAACATCATTGGTACTTGAAGATTACCAATTTGTTTTTATTTTTTTTTTCAATTAACCTTCGCTAATTAATAATCAACGAAAATTCCTCAAAAAATTCCGGAAATCATCTGAATTTTTGGATTTTACAATCTTGCGCGTGCGCATTACATTCACGCTAAATCACGATGTTTGAAAGAAGTACTAAGTAGATATATATTTGTTATTTTATAATTTCTCTAATAAGAAATCATAAATATATATAAACAGAATATATAGCAAATTTCCAATGAAAATTTACACGTATTTGTATTATCTTTCTGAGTTTATCCATACAAATGTGATATTGTGGCCACGTGGGTAATCATTCGCCATCTCGGAGAGACATTTATTATATGTTATTTATGTCTCTGGCCATCTCAACGGGGGCAAAAAGCTCATGATCGTAGGAGCAATATTAATGCAACTACCCGATTTTATTTTATCCTTCCTTTCTTTTGTGCTTTTTGAGGGGAAGGGGGGGGGGTTACAACTCCAGCTATAATCACATCTTAGTGAAGTAGGCATTCTTATTCCGCCAAAAATTACAATAACATTATTCTCATTTCTTAACTTTGAAATAAATCGAAATAATTAAATAACGTCAATATAACCGATATTTTCAATTTGAAATGTGTCTAAATGATTGCAACTTGAATTTGTTCGTCATGTTTACTATTACCTTCACTGCTGAAATTTATAACGCGGTAAATATGAAACATAAACTAAGGGCAAAGAAATATTTGATTCCATGCAAAAAACTCACATTATATGTCTTAGGAGTGTAGTGAAATTAATAGCATTATTGTAGGTTTATAGCTTTGTTATGTAAATACATGTAATGACCGCTGACCCTGGTCTGTCAACAATACGGTGAACACTTCCTGCAATGCTTGCGCCGTGCATTTCCCACGTGAACCATCAAAGAAAGCATTTTATTGTTTATATTTAAATTCACCTCCAAATATTTCTTTAACTTTCAAAAAAAGTGGGTGAAATATGTAAATTATTGTTATTGATCTTCAGTACGTTATATAGAAGGGACAGCCTGTTCCTCTAAATAAGTAAAGGTTGTCGTAACTACGCTTGATAGGTAGTCTGAAGTCAGCCCTTGTGGCCCGTACAGTTCATTCTATCAATGCTGCTAAAATATAGATCGTTTGTAAAATATAATCCATGCATAGTAAATCTCAAAACTATGAGGTGGGACAAAATTAAGATCGTAAAAAATATTTATTCATTGATGAAATGAATTATATTTAATCGTAGCAAACAAACTAAATTTTATTAATTCGCCACAAGAAAAAATACACCAGCGTGAAAACAAGTTGTCTTCTTCAGCAACCATGACAGTTCTCAAGTGATGTAATGACTTTTGATAAAAAACGTTTAATACTGCAGTAGATTAACTTTTATCATTAAACAGATATATAAATGTTTATGAGGTATGTATTTTATTTTTGCTGCACTATTTACGTATGAAGTAAGAAAAATTCCCATATTCAGTTCAAGATCCCGCTCCCAAATTCACATTGGCTGCCCCCCCCCCCCCCAAAAAAAAAAAAAATTGGTCAAGGTCAGTAAACTCAGAGTTTACTAAATATTTTGGAAAAAAATTATGCTCTGAATAATTACATCAGAAACATTTATTTTAAAATGTTTCTGATTACATTGTATGATTTCAATTAAAAAATGGAAATGATATTGTATGATCCAAAAAGAGTTGTACCCCCCACTCCCACCCCTCAGGAAAAGGCTTCATTATTGCAGCAAGAAGTACTTTCAAGTTCCTACTTTCCTACTAACGATACCCTAGCTTGGCTTATCTAAGATAATGATAATTTATGTTTCCCATATATTTTATACTGTACTAATTCAAGGATATCACATTAATTTTTATCAAAACAGACAGTCATGAGAGCATTTTCTTATATCATATATAAAGTAAATTTGATATTCTTAATTTTTATTATGATCTCTTTAACAACCAGTATGGTTTTTTTTTTTTGGGGGGGGGGGGAGGGGGGTATTTGCAAGATAATCTGCTCTGCTTCACATCTGCTAAATTGTGTAAAAATACCAGTATAGCACATTTGTCCATTTTCATTTCTGCTTTTACAGATTATATACATGTCTATAACCTGTGTACATATAAAGTATACGTATTAGCAGTGCTTAACTCTTTTACTGTTGAGGTCATATTTTGAACAAGTTGAGACCTGCAGTGTTAAAATTGTTACAAAATTTTTTACACCTTTAGTTAATAACTAACTGTGTAAAAATACCAGCTTAGCACATTTCTTCATTTTCATTACTTTGCTTGATATGTATCAGCAGTGCTGAACTCTTTGTTGTTGTCATGTTTTCAATAAATATCCATAATTTCTTTTATTCTTTGGAAAGGTGAAATTTATGTAAGCTCCGGCGAGATTCGAACTCATGACTTGATTTATATCTAACTGGGGGTCAAACCCATTCTGCGCTACGCCGTTACGCAACAATTTTGCAAAAAAAAACAAAACAAAACAAAAAAACAAAAAACAAAATAAAAAAAAAACAACCCAGAATTATATTCACATTCATTGTTTATCTCAAAAGTACCTTACAATATGAATGTGTCGATGTGTCTATTTTGTAAATGTCCGATATGCACATAGATGCATTCATAACAATGTCAACCCGTGCACGCACGGGTCAAAGTCTAGTATATTTCTATGTAAAACTTGGATTCCCCATTGTGGCCCCACCCTACCCCCGAGGATCATGATTTGAACAAACTTGAATCTACACTACCTGAGGATGTTTCCACATAAGTTTCATCTTTCCTGGCCCAGGGTTCTTGAGAAGAAGATTTTTAAATGATGCCATTATTTTTTCACTAATTCCTAATTATCTCCCCTTGAAAGAGGGCGTGGCCCTTCATTTGAATAAACTTGAATCCCCTTTACCCAAGAATGCTTTGTGGCAAGTTTGGTTGAATTTGGCCCAGTGGTTCTTGAGAAGAAGATGAAAATGTGAAAAGTTTACGACGACGCCAACGACGACAACGACGACGACAGACAACGGACAAATTTTGATCACAAAAGCTCACTTGAGCCTTTGGCTCAGGTGAGCTAAAAAGATATACGAAATTTGTGTAACATATGAGTAGAACAAAAAAATTATATCAAATAAATGGGGCATTTTAATATTTTAAGGGTTTTTTTAATTATATAGACAATTCAAAATTTTCCAGGTGTGGTCCTCAGCGCAATCAGTCCACAAGACAAAGACAAGCAGGCATTTCTGTTATTACTTAATGCACAGACTTTTGAAGAAAGAGCTCGTGTGACCTTTGACACAGACAGATTTTCAAGAGATCTCCATGGATTTTTTAAAACTGAAATGCAATAAATGCTTCTTTCTTTCTTTCTTTTTTTTTTTTAAATTCAATATGAAGTAGATGCTGAATATGAAATGTGGATGTAAACACACAAAATACAAATAATTTGAAAGTGTTTCATATTATTTATTCTACACTATACTCCCTGGAGACACTAAGACTGTTAATGCTGTAAAAACTGCACTTCAGTATGAAGTTACACACTAGTACAGTGAAACCTGTCTTATCCGACATGCTGCGGGAAATAAAATCAATGTCGGATTAGGCAGTGTGTCGGATTATCCAGTGTTGAATATTTCTAAGCATTATCATTAGTGTCAGATGACTTCATACAAAAAAAAATAATTTCTCAATAGGTTTAAAGTACACGTATATTTAATTGTCATAGTGTTTGCATAATTGTGTGTTTCTTTGTTGTATAAAATATACCTGATTAGCATTTCTTTGAGAAACAGTGTCTGTGACACAGAATTAGTAACTCTGTAGTAATATACGATGATTTTTTTTTTCATGGACAAAACAGATGGAACTGCCGATGGCTTCGCGATGTTGCAATTTAATTTTTACTTATTGACAGTACAGTAGATAAAAGTAAATATTTCGTCTACCTTCTCTACACAGTGGTATTATTTTTTTTCAACAGATTTTCGTCATTGTTTATTTCTCAACATTGACTGTGCTATTAATAACGTCACGCGACTTTTTATACGAACGGGACATAACTCTAGAACATGGTGATTGCGATTGAATTTTAATCAAACAGACGTATTGGTAATATTTTAAAATTTAATGGACAACTTAAAGCGGTAGTTTTTGCTTCCAGCTAATCTTTTATGTGCACAGCCTCGCTTTATTCAGTGTATATTAACTCGGAAATGAAATTTTTTCCATTAGACAAGATGCTGCCTTCAAATTGTGTATTGTGTACATTTTACACAGTAGTTCGCCGTACTCGTTTTTTATTTTCATTACCTGGCTTTACGAAGGACTCTGACTGCATATTTTATTTTAATGAAATTAAAAATCTTATTTATTCTGTAAGGTAAAGGCGATCTAAATATCATGTACTATTTTTTTTTCTGTGGCGTGGATGCTATTTTGTCAATGCGAGAATAAAATTGATAACTACAAAGAGAAATGATTGCCTAATTTTGAATTTCAAAAACTGTTCATTTAATGCTTCGATAAACACTTTCAAACTCGCACGTGTAATTAACTACTCTCTAAGAAGACCAATCTTATCACCAAACGGGACGTTCATGTTACCTGGCCAGTGGCTAATTACGGTACAGTGTAATTATGTCGGATTACTCAGGTGAAATCATAAAGAAATTATCTAGTTCTGTTGACAAAAAAGCGCCGGAATTCGGAATGTACAGTGGTCAGAATATACAGTGTTTTATTCTATATAAATTATAAAGATTTTTTGGGGGAATAAAATATGAGGTCGAAAAGTCCAGTGTGCCGGATTGCACTGTTGTCGGATTGGACAGTGGGCACTGTATTTCAAAATTCCTTATTCACTGATCTGAAATATTTTGTAAAACTTTATGTTCATTCTTTTTGGCATTTATCTAATTTTATTATTATTATTATTATTATTATTAATTATTGATTATCAAGGTCTTCCGTCTTCAGCGGAAGACCTTCTTGTTATTCTTAGGTTTCTTTTCCACTATTTTTATTAAGGTCTTTCGTCTTCAGCGGAAGACCTTCTTGCTATTCTTAGGTTTCTTTTCCACTATTTTTATTAAGGTCTTCCGTCTTCACGGAAGACCTTATAGTGATTCTACTGTTTCTTCTTCTTCTTCTTCTTCTTCTTCTTCTTCTTATTATTATTATTATTTTTCATTTTTATTTTTCTGACCTTTTCAAATCGCGATATCTCAAAAACTACTCAATCATTTTCCGCCAAATTTTCAGGAATGATGTGTTATTTCATGCCATTTTGAAATATTTTAAAAGTTTGGAAAAAATTACTTCCGGTCAGGAATTATTACGATTTTTCACTTTTTCCACTAAAAATCTAGTCCGTGAATGTTCTCAGAAACTGTTAAAGGTAGGAGTCTGAAACTTTCAGGTATGATAGAATGTGGTTTCTAGATGTGTGATCGAAACATTTCGTGTGTCGTCGCCACTTCCGGTCGTCACAGGAAGTGATTTAAAAAAGGCAATTTTTTGAACTTTTTTGTTTTTCATTATTTTTCTATGATATTTACAGGTTTAACAGAGAGGCTTACCAGAATGCTAATTATGTAATTTATTAAAAAATTGATTAACCCAGACTCTAAATATTTATCATTTTTCAATTTGAAGCGATGGTCTTCGATAGCGTAATGGTAAGTGTGTTGAATTTTCATGCAGGCGACCAGGATTCAATCCCCAGGATGTCCGAGTGTTTACTCACTTTTCGGGGGCCCAAAATATAATTTCTTTTCTTAAAGGGGGGGGCTATGTCCTTCGACATCAGAGCAGCGGTGTTTGACGTCACATTAACGGCGTGTCTTTTTAGTCCTTCATAAAGTGTTTGCAGTTGACATTTGCACTAATTAATGTGCATGCATGTACATGCAGTTGTGATATATATAAATGAGGTACACATGTATATGTATCTAGGTACATATGCAATTGTATCACAAATTGAAGACTTGCCAACTTGTTTTTTGTAGAATTTGTTGTTTTCTCATGATGATCATTAATAGAAATACATAAAGCAATTTCAAATGAGAAAAAGAACTTAATGACATTTAGTTTAGAGCAAGATCCATCATAATTAAGAGCTCAAAGCGGCTAAGCGTAAGAGGTATTGTCAATTAATGATAAACAGTGTATTTACAAAATAAAACTACTCGAACATTATGTGAAAAAATATGCTTTCACGAAATACATCAGTGAATTGTCAATCAGTTTCTTATGTGTGAGTGGTGCTGACTCGGGAAGGGGGTTGCAAATTCATGAAATCAGGGTAGAATAAAACAAATCAGTGAAGATAGTCCTTAAATTAAAAAAAAATCTCATTTAATCATATTATTATATATACAGTGTATATTACAATTTAGTGTGAGAATATAAACTTGTAAAAATTTCACACAAAGACTTTTTGGACATAGGTCCCCCCTTTTAAAATGATGTCTCGTTTTTAGCTCTACTGGTCAGAGACAGAAGAGCATATGCGATAGTAAGGTGTCCGTCGTCCGTCCGTCTGTCTGTCTCTAAACGATTTTTCAAAATGCTACTCCTCCTACAGTTTTTGTCTGATTTAAATATAACTTGGCACAAAGTAGACTACACTAAGATACATAATTCTGTCTATCGGTTTTTGATTTTGATGAACGGTGTTGTCATGGTGACGAAAAATAGAAATTTCTGTGATATACTTCCAAAACACTACTCCTACAGTTTTACTCTGATTTTGGTATAACTTGGCACACAAGTAGAGTACACTAAGAAACATAATTCTATTTATCGGTTTTCGATTTTCATGAACGGTGTTGCCATGGTTACTAAAAATAGAAATTTCTGTGAAATACTTTCAAACGCTACTCCTCCTACATTTTTGGTCTGATTTCAGTAAAACTTGGCAAACATGTACACTACACAAAGAGACATAATTCTGCTTATTGGTTCTTGATTTCGATGAACGGTTTTGCCATGGTTACTAAAAATAAATTTTCACAATATAAACGTTTAATCATATTTTATGTGTGAAGGTGTCAAAGGGAATGTAAAACATAACAAATATTGTTTAGTGAGAAAGCAACTTCTCTTATGACAAAGAAGGGACGGAAGACCTTCTTGTTGCCATTGCAACAAGGTTCTAGTTATTATTATTATTGTTTTTTTTTCTTACCGATTTTGTGCACGCGAGTTCTCGGAAACGGCTCACTCGATTTTCATGAAACTTACAGGTCTGATAGAAAAAAATCTAGATATATATTTTTTTGTTTTGATGACGTCACTTCCGGTTCCGAGGTTTCCGCCATTTAGTGATTTTCGGAGGGTCACTTTGTCCAGCAGTTTTTTCAAAAGCGCTTCTAGACAGAAACGTGACATTTTTCGGCGACGATAGAGCAACATGTGTAAATGTGACATACGCATTTCTCTTTCCCCGGAAGTGCCGCACTTCGTCGTTCGCTATGTCCCGAAAAAAGTCCTATCGGGATTTTTAAAATTTCTAACACTTTTTCTACAATATCTTTTTACCTGTAAATATTTTGTTAAAACATATAGAGCAAAAGTCGTGTAGAATGATACGATCTTTCAAAAGATATCAACAATAAGGGGCTGGCCCCTAAAATTAGGGAGCTAGAGGGGCCAAAAGTGTTTTCCTGATATCTCAAAAAGTGTTGAGAATTTGTATAGCATCATAGAAGCAAGGTTGTTCAAAATGACAAGTAGCAGCTGAGGAGATCATCAAAAGTCGTCAAAATGACGTCACTTCCGGTCACACCGGAAGTAATGGTAAATGGCTCATTCTTGCTCATATGACCGTAGATGTCTCCCGATCTCGATCTCATCTCCTTAAAATTTAGACGGAAGACTTATTTGTTGCTTTGCAACAAGCTCGTCTAGTTATTATTATTATTGTTATTGTTTTTTTTTTGTTTTTTTTGTTTTTTGTTTTTTGTTTTTTTTTTTTTTTTTTTTTGAATTTTGCTATACAAATTAACTTAATGCTATAGAAAACAAAGTTAACACATCATTCAACTTCGGTCTGAAATGTCAGGTGATAACCGGTACTTAAAGAATATGTATTGGCATTTCAAAATTTACCCAATACTTACTTAATGCAGATTTTCAACCAGAATGCATAATCTTGTGAGTGTACATTAACTTTTAACATTACCTTTTAATCATAGGCTTTTATTTCGCCTATTCGAAGTATACTTTTTAATAATAAACAAACGATTCATGAACTTTTTACAAATATTAGTGTTTATACAATTTCAGATATTTTTTTTTTTTTTTTTTACGCGAAATTGATTTTTACGATAAGATTAAGATATACAATGTACATTATTTAAGT